TTATTTTTATTTTTATTTTTACTTTTATTTTTCCTTTTCTTTTATTCTCTTGTTTGTTCGTTTTTTTTTTTTTTTTTTTTTTTTAATCCAATAATATGCATTTTACGAGATAATTATTTATCCATTTAACAGTATATATGTATATACTACTATTTAATCATAATTAAAAGTTAATGGAAATATTTTATCAAACAAATATAAAGTGGCGTATTCGTAAATGACGTTTCAGCATTAACAATATTAAATCAATTATATAAATATTAATCACATTATTTATTTTTTATTATTATAATTTCTATTACATGTAATTTCTTATAATTATATATAATTTCATTTATTATCTATGCATATAATATCTATTATTTTAACATTTTCATCTAACGTATCACCTTTACTTTTTTTTTTTACAGATTTTTCTTGAAGGATCATCATTTACCGTGGGGCGAGAGAAAGAGAGAGAGGAGAATAAGAGAGAGAACGAATAATTAAAACAAAAGAAAATGGCATCGTTAAGGCTATTCGTAGCAGGTGCGAGCGCAGTAGGAACTGGCGCTTTAACATCTTATTTATTCTTATCTGATTCAACAGTGAGTATTTAGAAAAGATTCGGTAAAATACAAGAAAAATATAGGGAAAGAGAGAGAGAGAGAGAGAGAGAGAGAGAGAGAGAGAGAGAGAGAGAGAGAGAGAGAGAGAGAAAGAAAGAAAGAAAGAAAGAGAAAAAGAAAAGGAGGGAGAGAAGGAAACGGAGACAGACGCAAAGAGATAAGAAAATCGTCCATATCAAAACGTGTTTCAATCGTAACGAATTCAAGGACGTAAACATATTATAATGCGAGTTTTAGATAGCAATGGTCAGTCTATGGTCACGTGGTTATACCAAAAGTTTCACGAGTCTAAAAGAGCATGCCAGGCCAGGATAAATCTTAAGGCCACTGCTACACGACTATTTCTAACACACGGACGGAACAAATATTTTAGAATAGAAATTCCCAAACTGTCAGTCCGCTATTTGCTTGGTTGATCACGTTAAATATTAAAATATGAGATTAATTTATATATGTTCATTAAATAAAAGTTTTACTCATTGAAAAGCCAGATAAACAATTCAAAGTCGATTCGAACAACTATTTTTATCTAGTTTTTATTAAGACGCATGCATATACATGAACACATGCGTACACAAAACTTCCGTTTCCTTTTTAAAATATGGATTACAAACGAATGGGACATGAAAAAGAAACGTTTTAGAAAATGACCCATATAAACGTTTGAGAAATCTTGCCTCAAAAAATTTTTCCTTGTCATAATGATGACGTCGTTATCGTAGTGTTTTTTCTTTTTCTTTTTCTTCATACTATAAAAAACGAAATTCTTTTATAAAATATTCTCCTGTGATTACGTACATTTAAATTTTTGCTAAAAAAAAAAAGAAAAGAGAAAAGAGAGAGAGAGAGAGAGAGAGAGAGAGAGAGAGAGAGAGAGAGAGAGAGAACAAAAAATCAATAAATATGAATTCATTAAAAAAAACGAAAAACGAGATTTTTCTATCGAAAAATCTTAAGCGAGCATGTGAGGTCACTTTATCGCGATTACTTCTTTGTTTCAAGGTTACTCGTATAGCTCTAACATTCTTATGCTCGCTCACTGCGAGCCCAACTCTTGAATTTAGAATACACACAATATTCAGATATTCGTTTTTTTAATTTGTTCGATATATATTATAAATTTATATTTATAATAATTAAGTATATAAATAAGATAAAATATATGAATATATCTAAGAAAAGATGTGGTATGAACGTGATCAAAGTTCTTATCGATTGAAAATTAACGAAGTGTAAAGGCGTACAAGTTTCCACGAGGTTGATATTATTTTATTTCTCTCTTTCTTTGTTTTTTCTTTTTCCATTTGAGGAATAATAACATGTTAATCGATCAATATTTAGTGATACATTGATCTATATTAGAGATTACTGGAAAAGTTTGGATCGTGTTAAATATTAAAATATGAGATTAGGTTTGCATGTTCATTAGATTTTATTAGAAGTGGATTACGAAAAATGATCGTTTTCGAAAATGGATCTTGACACATAAAAGTTTGGAAAACCATGATCTTTGACGATTTTTTTTTTTTTTAATTACGTTTACGTTATGAGTAGAACACTAAAATCGGAACACCTAAATATCTCGTGTTATTTATAGTTTGATGAAAAAATTCCTTAGAGCAAAGTTACATCATTTGAAGAAGCCCAATTTGACAATGGAAAGAATTTTTTTCTGAAGATTTTTTTTTTAACAAGATTTCAAGGTCATCAAATCCGTTCAAACGAAACCCTACGTTTTTTTACATAAATTGATTCTTCGTGTTATTTTGAATAAAAATAAAAAGTATAAAAATACAAGGTAGAAAAATGATTAGTTCATGAAATATTTTCAAAAAATATTTAATGATTTACATAACTGTAATAAGTCATACATTTTTTTGATAAAATAAAAAATGTTAGAGGAGAAAGATAGAAAATTTAAGGTGGACTACATATTCATGATCACATATTTCCTTCTTTTTTTTCGATTAAAATGTCATTCTGTATATTCACATTATTTATATTATTTACTTATCATCGTTTTATAATGCCTCTACAAGGTATACGCAGAAAAAGACAAACCAAAAACAACGAAAAGACCACTGCCAACTAGAGAGGATCAAGTAAAGACTTTGAAATCTCAAGATTACGACGTTCTTATCATTGGAGGCGGTGCAACTGGTGCAGGATGTGCTCTTGACGCCTGCACAAGAGGTAATATATAAATAAGACATTGTAATGAACAATAATTTTTAATCATACTCTTTATTAAGGTTTAAAAACGGCGTTGGTGGAAGCGGACGACTTTGCATCCGGCACTTCCTCCAGGAGCACGAAATTAATTCATGGGGGTGTGCGTTATTTGCAAAAGGCTATAATGCAAATAGACATAGAACAATATAAAATGGTTAAAGAGGCTTTGCATGAGCGTGCATCGATGTTATATAGCGCACCTCATCTCGCTCATCCTTTACCTATTATGTTACCTGTTTATACGTACGTACGATTCTAACGATCCTCTTATTAGTTATTTTTATAAAACATCCAAAGCGCCCTTCTCCCGTTGTTAATTTTATTCTCTCGTATTTCCTCGATAGATGGTGGCAAATTCCCTATTACTGGTTTGGTATAAAAATGTATGACCTAGTGGCAGGTAGTAAAACCGTTAAATCCTCCTATTACTTAAGCAAATCGAACGCTCTCGAACTCTTCCCTATGTTAAAGGGAGATAAACTCACAGGAGCTATCGTTTATTACGATGGTAAGATCGAATAAATTTTTTCTCCTTTTAATATGTTCATTATATATAATATATTATTTCTTAGGTCAACAAGACGACGCTAGGATGAACTTAGCGGTAGCTTTAACAGCTTCCAGACATGGTGCAACAGTCGTTAATCACGTAAAAGTGATTAATCTGTTAAAAGGTCTCGACAAGGTACGTATCGAGAAAATAGTTTTTCAAGTATTAGGAAATTAAATTTAATAATGATTGATGTGCTTTTTTTTCATGAAATTGACAATTTTTTTATGGCACGTATAGGATGGTCAAAGGGTACTTACAGGAGCTCGTTTGAAGGATGAACTCACAGGAGAAGAATGGGACGTAAAAGCGAAAGCTATAATAAATGCTACAGGACCTTTCACGGATTATATTAGGAAGATGGATGATCAAAACGTAAAAGAGATTTGCGCTCCTTCGTCTGGAGTTCATATTGTATTGCCAGGGTACTATAGGTATGTTAGTATACAAAAATGCATTTCTAAAGGACAATTCATAAAACATCATAAACGAATTTAAACAATTCTTTAGTCCCGACCAAATGGGTCTCCTCGACCCAGCAACTAGCGATGGACGTGTTATTTTCTTCTTGCCTTGGCAAAAGCAAACAATAGCAGGTACGACCGACCTACCCTGCCAGGTAACGCACAACCCACGGCCAACCGAAGACGAAATTATGTTCATTTTACAAGAAGTTAAGAACTACCTCAATCCTGACGTTGAAGTCCGCCGTGGTGATGTCTTATCTGCCTGGAGCGGTATTAGGCCATTAGTTTCTGATCCGAACAAACCGAATACACAATCGTTAGCTAGAAATCATATAGTACATGTTAGTTCAACGAAACTTGTTACAATAGCCGGTGGCAAATGGACGACATATCGTGCCATGGCTCAAGAAACCATTGATGCAGCCATCAAAGGTATTTTTAATACAGCTCTTATTATCTGAATATATGAGTACTTGAATATATTATATAATAGATGTTTCAAGACTCAGATATCCATAAATTTGAGCAATGGAAAAGTTCTGAATTTTTTTGAATAATGATATTTTAAACAATGCATTAGAGATATATGAACAGCCTTATGTCAATGAATAATGCGCTTTATATAAAAAATGATTGTATTAATTAAATAATATGTCTTATATACAGCTTGCGATTTAAAACCTGAAAGAGGATGTCAAACTGACGGATTTCTCTTAGAAGGCGCCCATGGTTGGACACCAACGATGTATATTAGATTAGTACAAGATTTTGGTTTAGAATGTGAAACTGCACAACACCTTGCCAAAAGTTATGGAGATCGTGCATTTGCAGTTGCAAAAATGGCGTCCCTTACTGGTAAGCGTTGGCCCATTATTGGCAAGAAACTTCATCCAGAATTTCCATATATTGATGCCGAGGTAAAATTAATTTCCTTATTTACAAGCTGAATTAAATATCGCTAGAAAATAATATGCATCTTTATACTTTAGATTCGTTACGGTGTACGCGAATATGCGCGAACTGCAATCGATATGATCGCTCGACGGCTCAGACTCGCCTTTCTTAATGTACAAGCCGCTCAGGAAGCTCTTCCAGGAATTATAGATATAATGGCCGAGGAGCTTCATTGGTCAGCTGAAGAAAAGAAGAAACAGCAACGTGAGGCTAGTGAATTTCTTGCGAATGAAATGGGACAAATGGTGAACCGTGCTTCCAGGGATAAAATACCCATTAATCTTACGAAAGACGAAATACAACTTTATATCAAACGCTTTGGTATTATCGATAAGGACAACAAAGGATATGTGTCGATTAATGACATCAGGAGAGGACTCAAGGTTTGCCTTCATAAAATGATCTTTCTTTTATTATTCTTAATATTATTTTGTATTACTTGTGTTACTTTATTTCATACTTTATTCGATCGTTAATATCTAGGCACTTGGTATTACGTTAAAAGAAGAAGAGATGCATACTTTACTCAATGAAATTGACCTCAGCTATAATGGCCAACTGGAGTTACAAGATTATTTACAGGTAAACTATAAAACATATTTATAATATAGATATTTTTTTACTATTCACAGCTCTTTGGTGACAAGGAAGTACCAGGTGAAGAACTTCACGAAATACTCCGCGAAATCGACACTAATATGAACGGTCAAGTCGAATTGGATGAGTACCTTCAGGTTTGTGAATATGCGCAGGTTGCCAAATAGTTTTGCTGCTCTGAATATGTTGTTTGTTATCTTTACTTTGCAAGATATAAAATTATTTTTTGTTTGTTTTCTAATCTCTTCAGTTTTACAATATCAACTGCGAATCTATGAATGTTTGCCAATTGACAAGTGATGTGCAAAAATTTACTGATTCCAAATACTATCTTAATAATATGCTTGTTTTTTATCTCACACTCTGATATTTATATAAACTATAATATAGTACTAAATATACTCATTCGAATGTGTTGCACTATTGCTATGATGACGCGTCCATATGCAGCCTGGTAACGATTCTCTGCTAATTATTATTAAAATTCAAATTGACATTTCAATTAAAACAAACTTGTACAAATTTTTTTTTTTTTTCTTATATTTTGCTATCATTTTTTGCATGAGTTTGTATTTATATATTTTTGTTACTATTATATGAGTTAGTGAAAATAATTATTTTAGTTTAATTATTTTAAGGAATTAAATATTTTCAATGAAAGATTATTTCATTTCTCTTTTTTTATAAAATTGAAACCATATATTTTCAGTGACTCATTTGTATCACTTTTATAAATGAATTACTTAATAACAAAATCTATACTTATTTTTCAGAAGTAACTCATTTATACAAAGTGAGATATTTATCAATGATTAATACTAATATTATATTTTTATTTTAATTTTATTAGATAAAATTTTATAATTTGTTTTATTTTTTCTGTAATTTGTTTTTGTATTTTTATATTTTATTTTAATTAATATTGCATAAGTTCACAGCGACTACCTTATATAAAAGTTTTAATAAAAATTGTAACTGTAATATTTTTTACACACAGATGATGTCAGCTATAAAATCTGGACATGTGGCATATTCTCGCTTTGCACGAATGGCAGAGATGGAACAAGAACAACATGAAAAAGAAATGTTGAAGAAACAAATTAGCGTTGAAAGATCCGGTGGAGGACTGTGAGGGAATTTCTGTAGAGCAGAAATACACTATCTTCTTCTATTTCCGTATAGCACATGCAACGATTACAATAAACTGTTTATTATAGTATGTTACAAAACTCGAGGATGCATACTTGAGAAAAATCATTGCAAATACTTTGAATGATTTTGATAATCTGCAGTTTGAACTTGCTTCAAGTTCAGAAATTTTAAGATTTGTTATATTGCACTTAACAGCAAGAATATATTGCTGTATATATGTAAAATATATGGAATATGGAAAGTTAAATGTGAAATGATAATATGCTTAATGTACATAGGAAGATTTTAAGAATATGCAAAATACCATAAAAGTATGGTTACTGCTCTGAAAGATTTTATAATAATATAATTATTGGATAGTTCTACTGCAGTTCATTATAACACAAAACACACAAAACGATAAGAGTTTTTTTTAAGTAATTCACGTACTTGTTATGATTCTTATAAAGACATAAATACATTAAATATACGTTTCATTAAATCACACATATCATCATAAAAAAAAGAAAAACATTACATATAATAATCAATAGAAACCTCGAGTATATTTTAGCAAAATTATATTATGTATTAGAATTCAAATGAGATCGCTTTTGTTTATAAATTATTAGCAAGGAATATCACACATACGGTGTATGAATTACAAAATTAATGAGAAATATCTATTTATTAAGAAACTTATAAATGTTAATATGTCACACAAAGATATTAGAAATGAGTTTCATGGAAAGTATTTATTATTTCATGCTATTATCGTTATCATCGAATTAATAAACACCACTTCCAAACACCACTTGCAGGTATCACTTCTTTTAGTCAAAATGATTACACTGTAATTTAAAATTATTGTGAAATAAGATTAATGATTGTTTTCATTATGAAAAGAACTATGCATTATTTATTTATTTAATTAATTATTTATTTATATCTATTTATGATGTAAATACATAGATGTTTACTATGTACTTATGTTTTAACAAAAAAATGTTAATCGATTATGACTATAATAAAAATGATATACATATATTATATTATATTTTATTATGAAAAGCACATAGAAATGATTTCTAACTTTTTGGATAACTTGGTACATATATATACATATATATATACATATATATATATATATATATATATATATATATATATATATACATACGTACATTATATATACATTCACATATATACGGATGTGTGTGTATATATAGAGAAGAGTTTATGATCAAAAAGATACAATTGTTTATTGATTTTTCTTATTCTAAATATATTTAGATTTAGCAGTACACTAGTATACTTAACAAAAAATAAAAATAAAAAAAGAAATAAAATAAATACATATATTGGTCCTGTGCGTAAAGTATTAGACTAACAACAGATGATATTTCGAAATTTAAAGGTAGGAGGTAAACAATGCACTGTATAATAAAAGGCCAAGGTCTTCGTCCATAAACTGAAGGTATCCGACGAAAGGGCAAAGAGATTTAAACTGTATACGATAATAGCAAAGCAAAACTTTCTATTTCTCCCTTTTCTTAAACCATCTGCGGGGCGGAAGGTAGGACAAAATAAGGCGACCCAAAGGGACAAAAGAAAAACAAGAAAAGATAGAAGGGAGAGTAAGAGAAAAAAAGAAAGAAAGAGAGAGAGAGAGAGAGAGATAGAGAGAGAGAGAGAGAGAAAGAAAGAAAGAGAGGGGCTGTGTTCCTTAGAACGAGCCTCGTGATCCGCTTAGTTGCGGCCTCCAGAATAGGGTGAGGAGGGATGAGATGGAGGGGAGAGGAGAATTCACGGGACAAAAAGAGGGGAAGTAAGGCCAGAGTGAAAGTAGGAGGTGGTTTAGCCCCTCGGTTGGGGTGGGCGTCCGACGGTTAGCGCGTACGCCCCTGCGTAACGAGTTTCGGTCGTGGAGCGACGCGTTCGACCAATCGGAGCCACCATCGGTCGTCCTCGGGTACGGTGAACGGTGCTGCTTGCGCGCCGCCCCACCGATGAAAGTAGTCCTCTTTCGGAGCTGGATTCGTGGCCTTGTTTCCGTGAACGCGAGGGACGAACGAAACGGCGCGTCCCACGTATTTGACGCGTGCCCTGCGCGCACACTTACACGAACAATTCTCTTATGCGGATGAACACTCACACATATGCGAACGCGTCCTCCCGTCCGCGCCTACCAACGAAGTCACGTTGCGAATCGCGCTTGATCCCGAACGATCATCATCCTCCTCACGCGATTGTGTTTTCTTTCTTCGTATAAATGTCGTGAATGTTGTCGCTAGATACGACCGGTGGCAGTGGCGGTGGCGACGGCGGCGGTGGCGGTGGCGGCGTGCCCGCTCGAGTGTGCTTCGGACCTCCTTGCGCTCTCAGCTTCGTCAAACTCGTTGCTAATTTTGGCGGCAATTTCGAACACAATTATTTATCGGCGATTATTTCCTTATCGATATAATAATTGAAATAACAATTTTAATGAGAACATAAGTACGAGCGTATTTTAATCGAAAAGGAACGTAATAGAAAAGCGTAGTGATGTGGCGAGTGCTGGTGTAGTAGTCGTATTAGTGTAGTGTAGTAGTGCTGAGAAAGTAGTGTAGTGTAACAGTGTGAGCACTGGTGTGAGAGCCCCGAAGAAGGGACTACACTAGTAAACTTGTGGGCGCGTTTATAAAACTGTTACAAGTAACGAGATATCTCATACCATACAGAAAATAATGCTACCTGCTCGAGCTACCTGTAACGACTGCATTCGAGTATAACGAGTAAGAACATTTACGAGAATTCGGATCGGATACGATTGTGAAGAATTACTTTAACGGGAAATAATCGTACGATGACGATTGTTTCGCGGTAACGACGGCAAAGGAACGCACTTTGAAGTTAGAATTTATAAGAGAAGAAAAGTAAATTTCGCTTGATATATCGTGCGGTAGGAGGGCAGAGGGAAAGTTAGAGCGGGGAAGCAGAGTGGACGGCCAGCGGCTGCGGAGGAGGAGGAGGTGGTGGCGGTGGAGGAGGTGGCGGCGGAGGAGGCGGCGGTGGCGGCGGTATCGTTTCACAGAGCGAGAGCACGTGTTGGCCGGAGAATTAGGTGGAGTCCCATGTGCAAAGTGGGTGGAGGCTGCCGCATCGCGAGGCTGCCTTCCGCGCGTTATATCGCAGGTACAAGTGTGTGAGTGCGAGTGCGAGGGTGAACGCCTGCGAGAGAGCGAAAGGGTGAGCGCGAGTGGGCGGGTGTGACGACGCGTTCGCGCCTGTGTGTTGGTATCGTACGCGCGGCCTTACGCCTGTAGCGCAGCTATGCCGATACGCGCTCTCTTCCGAGAAGAGGCGACCGAACGTGAGCGAGCGAACGAGAGAAAGAGAACGAATGAGTTAGATGAGTGTGTGTGAGAGAGAGAGAGAGAGAGAGAGAGACAGAGACAGAGACAGAGTGAGCGAACGGGTGGGACGGTAGGAACAGGGGCGTAGGGAGGCGGTCCTCGATCGGGTTCTCGAGGAGGGCTCTGTGTCCATCTTTGTCTCGGAAGAGAGTGGCCCCTCGCTTCGCGCACGTGTCAATATATCGCATCGCGCGATCGTCGCTGCTGGACCGATAGAGTAGCACTTATTCGTCACTGATTTCTCCTCGATCTTTTTTCTTTCTCGCATTATTCTTATTTTACGGTAGATACATATGTCTTGTCGCATTCAACGATCAATTTATACACCTCGCCCGTTCGCGATATATTTGTGAAATTCTGATGAAACGAAACAGATCCGGATGGATTTAATACTATACATGTATCCTCGTCCTTTACCTTCCAAACAATGTCTTATTTCCTTTCCTCTTGTAGAACGAAACCTCCGTGGAATACTGCGTGAAAGGGATATCCATTTTCAGGGAGTGCACTGACAGAGAATAGTGCTTCTGTTTGCTGTCGTTATCAAAATAATAACTCCCATCACGGGAGAATGCTGAAAGATGAAATCCTAGCATAAAAACTGTTGGCGCTAAATTAACTTTAACGTTAATACCAATTTATTTGCAAGAAATAGAAAATAAATATTTCCATCATGAAGCGCAGTGTTGATGGGAGAAATATCACTCAAGTAAGAAAAAGTATTGTTTATGTTGTATTTGTATTGCATATGATATTGTGGTTATGTTTCAGTTTTTAAATTATACCAAAAAATAAAACACAAATTGTTTGATTTAATAGGAAGAGATTGATGAGCATGATCCTTTACAAACGCAAGCTTCTCAACAACAAGATGAAGCTGAACAGCAGCAATTAGATCAACAACAGCAAACGGCTCAACCACAAATTAGATTTTTAAGTACGAATATGTTACAACAATTACAGCAACAACAACAACAAGATGTTCAGCAGCAAGCGCAGCAGCAACAACAGCAACCGCAAGTTATTACTTTACAACAACTGCAAAATTTTGTGCCTTTACAAGCCCAACAAGCCCAACATGATCAACAAAGGACACAAGCAATTTCTGTACAATCTTTGCCCCAACAGTTTTTACAGGTAAATCAATTAAATAATATATTTGTCTTTAGTTTGTTAATAGTATCAAAGAAAATTTTTTGTTTATTTATAGGGTGCTCAAATACTTGGTACTCAAGCTCAAGCAGCGCTTCAGCAACAGCAACAGCAAGCCCAACATCAGGCACAACAGCAAACGCCACAGCCACAACAGCAACAACAGCAACAACTTAGTTACAATGTTATACCGCAAATGCAGACTGTAAATATTGATGGCCAAGAAGCTTTGTTCATTCCATGTTCTGCAATGTCAGGTGCTGGTGCTCATCATCAAACACAGCCTACAATGCAATTTGCTACTGCTAATGGGCAGCAAGTACAACTTGCCAGTCAACAAGTGCAATTGGCTAATGGCCAGACTATTATAACTCCACAACCTGTCAGTCTCATAAGAGCTCCTGGCGTATTTCCTGCTTCTATTATTCAAAATATTGCTGGACAGACAGTTCAATTGCCTACAGGTATGGTTTTATTTACTAAATTTATCTGTAACAATATATGTGTAATGTGCACACGCACCACACACACGTTTTTTTTTATCGATTAGAAATAACAGTCTTATTTTTTTATTTGGTAGGACAAAGCGTTCAAGTAAGGCCATTACAATTTCCTATGCAACATGTTCAGCAAACTGTGCCTGTTCAAGTTCCAGTCACTGCCAGTAATGGACAAACTGTTTATCAAACTGTGCACTTTCCTGTTCAAGCTTTGTTAAGTGTCTTTAATATGCCAGCTACACAAATGATACCACAAATTACCCAAGTAAATGAACACTGTATATATGTGATTTTAATGTTCAATATTAAATGTTGCTGTGAATGTATATTTATATTGATTAATTTATATTCATGCGTATTCATAAATAATCATATATTTCAGCAAATTCCTCAAGTGGCTCAAATTATTACACCCAATGGACAGATTCAACAAGTTCAAATTGCAAATTTACCACAACTTCAAAGCTTACAAGTAAGTATAAAATCAATACATTTTCTAAAAATAAGCTTTCATAATGACATAGTAAATGTACTATTATTTGGAATATTGTTACAATAATAAACAAAAAATTTGATAATATTATAGAGTCAACAGGTAACACAAATGGCTCAACAAGTTGCTCAACAGCAAGCACAACAACAGGTTGTACAACAGCAAGCAGCACAACAACAAGTTGTACAATCAGTACAGCAGCAACAACAAGCTGTACAAGCGCAAGTTCAGCAGCAACAACAGCAGCAGCAGCAGCAACAGGTACAACAAGTTGTACAAGTAATACAACAGCAACAGCAGCAGCAACAACAGCAGCAGCAGCAACAACAGCAGCAGCAACAACAACAGCAAGTTCAACAAGTCCAACAATCATCCACACCAGCTTCTACGGTAGCAACTTGGAGTACAACTGTTACAACTCCAAGTAATGTTCAGGTAACAATATTATGTATATTTCTTTTATATAATTACAAATATGGTAGAAGAACGACATTTCATGTAATATATGATAATAAATACAAGTAAAATAATAAAAAGTAAATTAAATATATCTATAGGTACTTGGTATTGGTTCACTTACAAGACCTATGCCAGCAAACAGTAGTGTAATTACTACAAAGGATGGACAGAAGATTGACGTTCAGACATTAACTGCTTTAGCAAGACCACCTGAAACAGTTGAAGGTGATATAAAATTAACAAATATAGATGCAAGTCAATTGGCTAATCAAATTATACATATTCCAACTGCACAATCTGCGCAAACTACAGTTCAACCAAACACGATAACAGGTACACTAATGATCCTGTATCTGTTATTGTGTAATCTATAGAATATATATATACTTTTAAATATATATGTATACACACATATATATATATAATTAGATATCTTAAATGTTTCTTATAGGTGCGCAAGGTCAACAGCTTACTTTAATTCCTGCGTCTGCTCTAGCAAATTTGACTGCTCAACAAGGAAATATGATGAGAAGCGTTGGTAGTGGGAGTATAATGCAATTACAACCTGCTGCTGGAATGAATACTACAAATGGTTTTCTTCAGTCCATACCTGTACAAAATATTCCAGGTTTAGGAAGTGTCCAAGTAATACCTGCAAGTGCGTTGCAACCTGCTACTGTGCAAGCTTTACCTACTGCTGCTGCAGCACCTATTGTTGCTGCTCCAACTGTACAACTAGACTCAAGCGATCCAACTAAATGGCAAATCCTACAAACATTGCATCCAAATGGAACGATCACAACACCAACTCCGACATCACATCAACATCAAATAACAACTGCAACAAATCCAACTGTAGACACAGATTCTAATAAACAGCATCGAAGAAGAGTAGCCTGTACATGTCCTAATTGCGGTGATGGTGATAGGTATAGTCTATTATTGATCTAACTTAATACTGGTTTCATGTTCTTTTTATCGTGCACTATTAGAGTCGGTTTTTTGTTTTGTTTTATTTTGTTTTTACATGACATTAATGACCCTGGCACAATGATTTTATGTTTAGAAATAGGGACATGACTCGAAAACGTCAACATGTTTGTCACATTGCCGGTTGTAATAAAGTTTATGGAAAAACAAGTCATCTTCGGGCTCATTTAAGATGGCACACAGGGGAACGACCATTCGTTTGCAGTTGGATATTTTGTGGAAAAAAATTTACAAGATCAGACGAATTACAACGCCATCGTAGGACACATACTGGAGAGAAACGATTCCAGTGTCCTGAGTGCACGAAAAAGTTCATGCGATCAGATCATCTGACAAAGCATATTAAAACACATACAAAAATTCGTAGTACGGTAAGCAAATATTGTAGTAATGCGTAGATATCATTGGAGGAATGTATGCAATTATTCTATTTTAACACTTTCAAGTATCTCTTTCGTGATATCTTATAAAAACTTTCTAAAAAAGCGCAGATTAATTTTTTAATTAAACTTAATATTATTTTTAATTTGTGTTTTAGGAAGCTGCTACTTCCACCCAGGAAGGTTCATCTGATAGCCAGTCTTCCGCAGAAGAAAAGATAATAATAGCACTTCATAAAACAGAAACAGAACAGACAGGAATTATTTTATCAGAACCAATGGATGATATAAAAAGTGATTCAATCAAACATATAACAAACGAATAATGTATTAGTTTTGTTGCATTTGAGCTTTTCTAACAGAGCTTAAAAGAAAGTCAACTAAAACAGATATAGTATATATAAATAGTGTATATATATATATATATACACTATATATATACTTATATATATAGTGTATATATATTATATGTATGTGTGTATATATATATATATATCATTATATATACAATGATTAATGTTAAAGCTTAATAGCTTGCACAGATCATTGAAGTTATTTTCTCTAAAAAAAATTGTATGTGAAAAATTTTTACAGGAATTGTAGTAATTCATAATTTATATAATCTATTTTTTTATTGGGAATATGTAAATATGTATATATTGTATATGTATGTAAAAAAATTTTTGCACAAGAAAATTTTACACCTATAAACGTTTTTTTGATATACGATTATTAGAAGTCATTCACCTTAGTTTGTTGAAATATGTAGATTAAAAGAAATCATTAACATCGTATTAGTATACAATTTTTGATGATGGAATTTAAATAAAATCTTGTAAAAAGAAATAAAAAATAAATGATGGAGTTAAGATACCTGGTATTGTTATGTGGTATGTTGTTAATAATTTCAAATATATAACAAAGCTAATGATTTTGACAAATTGTATTTCTTTCAAAAAAAAAAAAAAAATAATAAAAAAATTAAAAAAAAATTTTTAAAAACTAATATCCCAAATATTTCAGGGTATTTATCTGCAAAGAATATTTTTAAAAAACATTTTTTAATGACTCCAGCGTATTATATATTATCATTTATTTATTTCGATGTTTGTCGCCAGAGGACAGCTCCTTCGTATGAGCTCGCGAATAGCGCTCTTATGGTATAAATATACAAATACAATATGGCCGAAAGAAGAGGAAGTTTGCGAATCTTAACGAATGACATTTTATTAAAAATTTAAAAAAATTTTTTTAAATTTGAATGTTCGGTCCGTACCGTGTGTTTACTATCCTTGATGAACGATGGATTGCGGGATACATTAAAAATTAATCCGTTCTTCTGCAGTCACATTGAACGATTATGTTACTGAATGATTGTTGGTGAGAGATGTTATGTTTATTTCTTTAATACGAGAAGGCGTTTGTAAGGTTTGTTCTTACAAAATATAGTCAAAAAATTTAATCAATACAATTGCATATCATCACGCTATGTATTCTTCAACATTGTCAAATGGATAGGTGCTGTCATGGACACTGATGTTGAACTGTCTAAAGAAGGATGTGAATCTGGTCCAGGTTGTTCCGGTTATTCTAGCATGGTGCACAGTAAGAAAGTTATCAAACATGCATTGCGGCAACAGGCCAAGAGACGTAGGAAAAATACCACCATAGCAGCAGGAAATTCTCGTACTTTGCCAAGAATCGTTGTTAAGCCACTGCCACCACCTCCACCAAATGAACCACCACCTCAGGTCAACAATGTACAACACATCAATACAGGTATCTATAACTTATTTTGTTTGATATTCCTAATTGCTTATAGATGTTGATTTTTTTATATATCTGATAGTAGTTGAAGAACCTGCTGCAACAATGAGGGAAGTTTTGGCTAGTTTGCCAGGATTTAGTTTAAAATCAGGACGAAGACGTTCAACAAAAAGATTGTCTGCAACTGCACAATTAGAAGCTGGTTTAGTAGATCTTGAATCACCAGCAAGCATTCTAGCAAGTACAAGTTTACGTGCTCTTTTAAACAGGCACACGTTCCAAGGCCTTCCTCCTTTATATCAGAGAAAGCTCGCACAGCTTTTACCTGCCGTTGACAGACAGGTTGGTACTTTGAAATAAAGGATAATTACTGAGCTCTTTGATATTTATTAATAATACTTATTTCGTTTTTTTTATTAAATATTTATTAATTGATCCAATATGTTATATACATTTAGGATGCAGCAACTTCTGGATTAAATAATGAGTTTTTTGCTCGAGCTTGTTTAGAATGGCGTAAACGATTAGCAGAAGGAGAATTTACTCCAGAAAATCAACAGCGATTAAAGATGGAAGCAGAGCGTGACAAAAATAAATTAGATCCTTGGAAAGTAAAACATTTTGAACCCATTTGGGGTGAGAAACGTGAACCTAAACTAAGATCGGGTCTTCATTGCATTAATGAATCACGATCTAGTGGTGCAGTTACACGTTCAAGCCTAAGGTTACGTTTAGAAAACAATATTGATACAATTACATCAGAAAATACTCATTGTCCTATTGTATTGTCAGAAGATAAAATTGAGGAAGATAGTTGTAAAATTGACATTAATACAAATAACACAGAAGATATAAATGATGCACAGGAAGAGCATGCAAATCTTTTATCAACTGAATATAATGAATCTATACACACTGACTCTGTAGAAATAGCAGTAAGCACGCAATTATGTCAGGAAAGGATAGATGATGCTATTCATGTTAATGATGTTACAGAAGAAACACCAAAAAATAATGAGATAGAAAATCAAATTTGTCAGGAAAAGAATGTAGATACGTATATGGAAGAAGAGTTACAGGAAAATCCTAAGGAAGTGGAAGATGTCAAAGATCACCTTCTTGAAGTTGCAGAAGAAAATACAGGACCTTTATTAGAGGATAATTCATCATCAAAATCTAATGAACAGTCAGAACATGTACCTTTAGAAGAACCAAGTTCACAATTATCCAAAGAATGTATATCTGAAGCTTCAGTGGATCAAATATCTCAAATATCAAAAGAACAAATTACCCAAATTTCTGATGATCAGATTTATCAAATAACAGATTGTGAAACTAGTACTGCACTTGGAAATTCACCAACACATTCTCAAGTTAGAACAAGTGATATTGTGATGGATGAGTCAAATTTGATGGTTAATAATACACAATCAGAGTCAGGACCAGTTTCACATGAAAATTCAGCAGATGGTGAGTCACAAATTCCTGAGGGAATGGAAATTGATAGTGAAACTTTACAACGTATACACGAGCTAGAGGTAAGAAGTAAGTGTGAAATATTCCTTAAATGTTCTCTTCTTCTATACGATAATATATATGTATAATATTTAGGTACGAGGGGAAATGCGAGAAGCTTATGAAGAAATTTCAGGATGTCCAGAAGAAATTATGTATCCTATTTTAGAGAGTATGGAAATGGAATCAAATAATACTGAAGAAACAGAAGCTCAGGTGGTATCCGCACAAGTAGAAGATGTTAGAGGGCCACAAGACGTAACTGGCGGAAATGAAGATGAAGCTTTGAGAGAAGCAAATAATTATGTTTGTTCAGAAATGTTAGAATGTAGCTGGACAGTAGATCCTGCTGTTAATACCATCAATAATAATAATAGGGTATGTAAATAAAAATGTATGGTATAGAATTCTTTTTCCTTATGGTATTTTATCTTTTTTGATTGTTATATAGACACAAGAAGAACTTCAAGTTCCCTGGCCTTTGGTAGCTGCTGCTTTAGACGGTTCAGTTGCTGCTAATATCACAGTGACTACACAAGATGAATGTGGTGAAACACCTGCTACAACTGAATCAACAAATGCTGCACAACAATTCATAAACTCAGATGCTACTGTTGAATCTGTTAACTGTATTCAACTTCCCGTCGTTCAAGGAACTCCTTTTCAATCTGAAAATTTAGCAATTGGTAATCCAGGAACAAGTTGCATAATGAAGAATCTCCAATCACAGAATCCACCAATTATTGCCTTTCCACAATTGCAGTCTATTAGATTTGTACAAACCAGTTTTCATTCAGAGCAAAATACAACACCAGTATTGAATAATGCTACTGCAATTTCGACTCAGTTACAAAATCAGCCGAACTCAACTCCGCAGGTTAACATTATGAGAGCACAGGAAGAAATTGTACAATTGAACACACAAAATAATATTCTGCATAATAATATCCGTGATAATGTGACACAAAATCAAATTCAAAATACAGTACCAGTTGGAATTGGAGTGCAAACACAGAATAGAGCACAAAATACTATTATGGTTCAACATCAAGCAACAACACCTACACAATCACGTCAAATTGTCGCCACTTTACATCAACAGCAGCAACAACCACAACAGTATCATAATACAGCTGTGTCTGTTTCTTCAAGAACATCTCGTTCTAATAATCAAGGAAATCAAAGAGGTTCTAGGAATAGTAATAAAGAACAGGGGGGAGGAAGATCCAGGGGTACAACTAAGGAGCCACCAGGAGCTGTTAATTTGGAACGCAGCTATCAAATTTGTCAAGCGGTAATGCCAATATCCTGACCTTTGTTTAAATGTATTATACGTATATGATAAATAATACTACCATTCATGATATCATTTTAGGTAATACAAAGTTCACCAAATAGAGATCAACTTAAAGCCCATCTTAAGCCACCACCTAGTTTGTTAGCAAGAGGTGATGGAGCGTTTACAACTAGTAAGTCTGGCGGGCGAACAATCACAACACTTAAAACTCAGAAAACACAACAATCAATGCAACACAATAAGCAAGGACAAAATAAACCTCAAGCAGTCATGCTTAGGCATGTGTTTGCTACAGCACGCCAAGCAACATCTACAGAGGTATGTTCTAATATTTTATTTTATTTTAATAAGTTTAACATTTATATATATATTTTTTGGGATTTTATGTGTAATATTTTGAATACAGACTTTGCTATCCATAAATTACCAATTCATAATGGCTTAATATTTGAACGTAGAATAAAATAATCAAACATTAAATGTGATTAAATAGTAAAGAATTAAAATAGGAAATATACATTGTATAATTGTATTGCACAATGTGTACAAGTAATGATATTCTATGTATTTATATGTATGTCGATATTTCTTTGATTCATAATGCTGCTTTTTCTTTTCATTTTTGATATTGTATATTTCTGTACTTGATGCATTTGCATAGATTAGAAACTCAAGTCTGGTCAGTATACTATTTTATATTTTTCTCTGTGTACAGTGCTAATCTTGCGTGTGGCTTGATACGATCTCTGTATCATACAGGTACTTGACAGACAAATCTTTATCCTAGTTCTGAGTTTCTAATAGATAGTTGAAAAAGTATAGTGATATACACATCGAAAAGGTAGCAAATTCCAAAAAAATATTATAGATCTATAAATTTTGTTATTGTTGTAAAAAATAATAACAAGACTTTTGAGTATAAATAATTCAATGATATATATAATAAAGTAATAAGATAATGTTATTCCATAGCTAATTGCATAATCGGGAAATTATTAGGTTACAGAAAGCAATACAGTAGCGCAGTTAGGATCTACAGCTACCAGTGCACTTGGACAATACATTCTTGTGCAAAGGACAGGTGTCGGAGATGGTGCACCAAGAGCGTCATCTGCACCACCATTACCTCCACAAATTGCAGGAATGGGTGTTGGAGTACATTTAGTTAGAGGTAGACCAGCCAGTGCAGGAGAAGGCTCACATCAAGCAGTTACGCTAAAGGCACGAGGTACCGATGGCAGAGGAGCAGGCGGAGCTGAACCTGGAGCACCTGGTATGATTATGGGTGGAGATCCGCCACCACCTTGCGATTGCAATATGCGGGGTGCTATGGTAATCTGTCGACAATGCGGTGCCTTTTGCCACGACGATTGCATTGGACCACAGCGTATCTGCGCTACTTGTCTTATACGTTAATTGTCATCTATTAATTGTTTATATATAATGGTAATTAACACTAGGGAGAAAGTGTTGAATATCAAACAAAAATGTCGAACAGTATTTGCAGCCATGTATGTGAACGTTATATTATGATTTATTCAATTGTGACATTGTCACCTCCTTGGACAATTTTTCAAAGTATTATATGTGGTTCTAGAAAATAGACAAAAAGAAACTAATGCTACAAAAGAAACTGATAGTTTATCATCAGCACTTTAATATTAATACTATTCTACGTGACAAGGGTATCAAGGATATAGTTTAAAAGAAATGAAATTTGTTTAGTTATCATATTAATCTCTGACATTCATATTGAATTGATCATTCATTTTATTTTTGTTATTTAAAACAACTTTATATACGTATATATAATATAGAATATTGACCCAGTATATTTTACATTATGAGATAATTTACTATTTTACGATAATTTGTATATTATGTTTTGTACAGACAAAGTTTTTTATACTCTCTTATATATACGCTATTTTATTCTTTCTCTATCTCTTTTTTTTTTTGTTTAAATCTTTTAATGCGTGGAACAATAATGTATCTATTATATTATGCTTTATGTCTTATATTTTTATCACTGGAATTTTTTTCTGTGATGACATAATTCGATTTTATTAAATTTCACGTTTATCTTATCGGTACAATATCATTATTTAACTGTATAAAATTTCATTACATATTATATTATATTTAAACATTATCGCAATATAATTATCTCTCATAACAATATTTAGTATTTTAATACAATAATACCATAAACGTGATTATTTCAGAAATTGTTAGTATTTATAAATATAAATTTCAACTGTATCCTTGCAACTCAAATTTGCAGTAAGAAGTAAATTTCTTACAGTCCGACTCTAATACCGTCTTCCACTCAATATTACATTCTGTAATATGCATCGCGCGCTATTTATTTATTAATGCAAATTTAAATTCATTCTCATTGTGTAGGAAATATCCCTGTACATGGTGGTCATAAGACTATATAATGATCTCTTATAATGACTTTCTTAAGTCCCCCAAGGAGACTGTTAAAGTATGACACTTTAGAACAGAATTTAAAATGTCATTTGCATAATATTAATTATGGTATTATTTAAATACGTGCAAGATAGGCCATGGTGTACAGGAATGCTATTTACTATATAGTATATTAGAGCTACAATCAATTAAACAGTGAAGAATCAATTTAGCTGTTATATCTTATTTTGTTATAGATAATCTCTAAAACATCTCTCTAAGTCCGTTATTCATTTTTCATTAGTACCGTGCAACTTGAGAAGAAATCAATTCTTTCAATTGACATTACATTTTGTATATAGTCAACATTATAATTATTCATTTTTATATATTTGTTCATTGCTCATTTGTTATTTTATTATGTCATTGATACGACTTCAATCGTGTACGATTGTCATTGCGAAATATAGGGACTTTGCTTCACGCGTAATATTGATTTTTTTTTCATGTTATATTTTATTCATCGATATTAGTAATTATATAATTAAATTTCAGTAGAATAATCGATGTATTTGTCGCTCAAATGTAAATAAAATCATATTCGTTTATCGTGTGTGAATTAGTTTAATACGCAGATTGTACATGGCTTAATTGTATGTACAATTCTTCTCGTAATGAATTTGCACATAGAGCGTTTTACAGAAGAGTTAAGGTATGCAAGGTAAAGTAGCCCTATAACAATAATTATTCACTCCAATTATTCAAATGACAGTCATGATTTTTATCAATTTCTGGTGAAGTATTTGAATTGTGAAAGTATATCAGAAAGTATACTTGACATTCTTCTGCAAATGCCTGCTAAAAATTAAAGTCTGTAATAGCTATTATATAAGTAAATTAAAAAAAAAACATATATATATACATGCACACATACATATGTATGCGTGTGTTGAAGTACATTGTTGCAATATTGTATAAGGGAAAAAAAACTACAAATATACATGTATCTATCCAACTGTGTTGACCAAAACTAAAGTACTTAAAATATAAAGGAATTTAAGATAGTGGTCAGTAAATATCTTCAATTTAATGCAGCAGAACTGATTATCATAATCATAATAGATGCATAGAGACTGAAATACAAAATTAGGGCTACTCAAATTCTTTGTCTGTTTTTAAAATACAAAAATTTCATATAATAGTAGAAGTTGACAGAGACTATCTTTACTTCTTTAAATAAAAATCTCTATTATTTCATATCACATACATATACATATATGGATATGTCTAGCAAAATGTAAATTATGATTATTTTAATTTTTTTCTAACATAAAATGAATTGTTTATTCTTCCAGCACATGTATCTCTATATTATTAGTTTTTTTTCCATATATCTGACTTAGGTTTTACTTAATGAGTATGGTAGACTCATACATGTATGTAGTGGTCTACTGCAGATTTATTTGTGCGGAAATTGCACATTAAACAATTTACAGAAAATTATATATTGATTAACCCCCTCTCCATAAAAATAAATAAATCCATTTTTAATAAACAGTATTCATTATATATAGCTGTGTACTGTTTGATTATTATATATTAATAAATTTATTTTTTTTCTGTAATATTATTTCTACAATTATATTTTAAAATATTTTACAATTCTAACGCAATTTAAATTCAACTGTAATAATTTTTGTACATTAGACTATTCCATATCACAACTTGCAGCAATTATCAGATCATGTTTGTACTTCCTATTTTTGTGATAGTTTTAATTGTATTTAGATAAACGTTCACTTTATTATATTTGAACATTTCATAGACATGACTACAATGCAAACCACATGAATGTATTTTTACATTTAATAATCTTTCATCCATTCTCTTTTCCTCTAGCAATATATTTAAAATTATAACTATATTAAAAAAAAAAAAAAATAATTATTTTTAAATATTTCTTATAAATATATGCTGCAGATTACAAATAAATTTTACTAAAAATAATATTATCATTGAATAAATAATAATACTGTACAATAAATTCATACACAACTATTATCAATTAATAGTAGGCACAATATATAAATATATGCAATTATAGAAGAATGTTTAACTTCATAGTGTACATTCTGTTTTAATTAATTTACAAGAACAAATCAGTACAAAACAGTATAAATAAAACTAAATTCAATTTATATATTATGTAAGCACATATAAAAAATTTAACTTAAATTAAATCAATTATTGTGCATAAGACTGCAAAAATAAAGAATCGTAATACTTTTTAGGCTTACTGATTTGATCGATTTCTTGATCGATCAAAAAAATTAATATTGCGCATATATTACATATAATTATCTCTTTTAATGTCAACAAATTATTATTATTGTAGAGTAATGTGGTACGATAAAGTTTAACTTTTCGCGCAAAATTTGTTTAAACTTCGTACAGATCTAATATTATTTTGCATTGCACATTTAAATAAAATATAACTTTAATTCATAGTAATTTAATCACAGTGCAACCTTTATGATATATAAAAAATAATAAAAATATATATTTATTATTTTTTATATATCATAAAAAGATAATTTAGGCTGCAATATACATTTTACATTGTATTCGCAATATTATGAAGTAAAGATATTATAATTTAAATGAAATACAAGTTCTGTACTAGTATCATAACTTAAATCTCTAATAACATTTCAGGTACTGAAATAAAAAAAAAAAGAAAATAAATTATTATATAGAAACATAAATAGGAAATTAGCTTTGTAAGTAAACGAAGCGGCATTCTATAATAGATATCTTTTAAATTGCATGCATTAACAATTTACTTATGCTCAAGCGTTAATATATATTTATATACTATACCAAATATTACTGTATATTCTGATTTATTAGATTCATTTGCTGAACTTTAATAATATTGATGCATTGATAACTCTTTTATAATATAATATTTTCTTTTCTATACAATATACGACTTTTAGTTTCCTAATAACGTAGATGTTTAGTTTAATTTACGTAGCAGGGCAGAAAGTACTACATTCTTATTTAAAGAATATAATAAATATATTAGGAGGAAGATCTTTTTGCCAGCAATAGAAAATGCTTTGCAAATATTTTGATCACGTTATATTTTATATCTTTTTATATATTTTCTAAAAGTATAATTATATAACTAAATTATATTTTCCAAAATAGTAGACTTGAAATTTAATGCAACTATTGCAAAAATAAATATATCAGCAAACGTTGTATATAAGGACTATGAATGTAAGAAAACATTGCTAATTCAAATATAATAAATTGTCCTTTTCAATGTCCCCAATGAGGGTATGTGCATTATGTTATATGAGTGGTTGTTCCTTATAAAATGTAATATAACTGCGCTTAGCACAAGCTGAAACAAATATATCAAAATAATGTTATTCATATAATTGAACTTATTTAATAACATATCTTAAGATTTATATACATCTCCTGCTTTATTCTTTGATCATGCCAAAGACATAATCACAGATTTTAAACTGTGCTTAGTTACCACTTGGAATGTATCTGTGGAAGATCAATAGTGATATTGTACAAGAAAAAGGATCTATAATCTACAGGTTATTTCTTACATTATCTTATATTGATTTTTTTTTCTTTAAAGACTATCTTCCATCTCTAGAACTGCAGGGTTGTCTATTTTTTCCTTTTTTTTAACTGAGCTTTGTAATATTTTTGGATTTTAGCTCAGTAAGGAGATTTTAAACATATGCAGGTGAGAGACTCAAAGTAAGACGAGAGATAACATTGTTGCGTATCGTAGCTCGAGTTGTCCTCGAACTTTTAATAATTTGTATCACCATGATGCGACAGTCATGACAGACAACCATAGCAACACCTCGTAATCGTTCTGCCGCCAATCGTTGTTCGGAACTTGGACTAGCAAATGTTGAAAATGCTTTTGTAGCTGTGGTAGTTGCTGGACTACCACTTCCTTTATAATTTCTATAAATACATCATCATTATATATTGAAAACTTATCATAAATAAAGTAAAAGTATATGATAGATATGCGTGAAAAGTAAAAATGATATATAACTGAGAAACTATACCTTTTTTCCGTAGCACAAGTGTCAATGTCTCGCCGAGAATTAGATGAAGGAATCGAAGTTGGCGTTACAGCCGAAAGGGGTGTAGTCGCAGGAGTAGAGGAAGGTGTTATACTTCGCAATGCAGAATCTTTACGTCTAGAAGCTGGTGATGCTGGCGCTGAACCAACTGCTCCTGTACCTCTTAACCAAGAATTTTTTCCACTCGTATCTGGTTCAGAAGATGATGGCGATAACAATAAACCAGGAGACAATAATACCACCGGTACATGAGCAAAATGTTCGGTTGGAATCCGCATCTACAATTATTATTAACAATGATCAAAGTTTAAGAGATATACCCTTTTAAATAGGAAACATATTTTGAGAGATATATTACTAACTTTAGAGTAACATTTCACGCAGACTGTTCTTTCGCAAAGTCGACAACGCTGACCCCATGGCCCTAATAAACCAAATCTTGTTTTCAGACACAAAAAACAAACACGTCTTTTCTCTACGTCTTCTTTCACTTGACCCTCGACAGGCAATGATTCCAATTCGGCCTTAGTCAATACGCTACGAATATGTACGATTTCTTCTAGCGTTAATGAAAGTCTTTCATCAAAAAACATATCACCCAAGTTAGGTTTCTAAAAAAAGAAAAAAAAAAGAAGAAAAAAATAGAGAAAAAACCAATAATTATCGTTCGAACAATATCAAAATGTTAAAATTTGTTTCTGTCATTTTTTCATAATTTTTTTTACCTGAGTATTATCTTCTTGCCAATCAACGTTCCGATCCTCGATATTATCTTTGCCTTCAACAACCGTATTCGATCTCCGGGGCTGCCTCGCTCTAGGCTGAGGACTAAGATTTGGACTTGGACTGAGACTAATATATGGACTAGTGCCTTGACTCAAAGTAGATCCTGTTACGCTTGCGTGTTGCCGACTTTGAGGTCTTGAATGAGGAAGAGATGTTGTTCCAGTAAAAGATGTAAGAGCTATATTACGCCTAGCTGCGTGTTTTCTTGCCGAAGCCCTTCTAGATGGGCATTGAGTCGCAAGATCGTATGCTGTAAATTAAGAGGTAACATCATGATTATTTATAATATTTCGATATTTGTGTATTGATTTTTATTATATATATATATATATACATATATATATATATATATATATATATATATTTTTCTTTTTTCATTATTTATTTTAACGTGTTTAGAACCAAAACACTTAAGTTCAAGGGACAATATAACAAAGGTCAATTAAATATTCTTTCATGCATTAAAGGTTAAAGTGTAAAGTTATAGACACGTTGAATTAATATATAAAAAAAATTTCTCTTGAAAATAAATTATATATGCATATCATTACATTCCAGTTGAGTATCGCAGAAACGATGATACTCGTTTCTTGTAAGTCGAAGACCACCAGTTTTTTTCCAAGGATTCGCTGAATCCGCATCATCGTCGTCTCTCTCGTAATCATGATCCTTATTATCGTTTGGAATATCACGATTTTCAAATGGGTAATCATAGGCCTCGTCTTCTTCCTCGAATCTCGCTACGTTCAGTTCATCATTATAATCCTCATCGTCTTCATCTTCTGCATCTAACTACAAATAGGATAAAAATATTTTTTTATTATATAAATTAAATTGAATTTCAAATAAGTTTAATGGAGCAAGCAGTCGAATGGCACTACACCTTTAAATCGAAATCAACGGGGATCACTTTTCTAGTTCGTCTGGTATTTAAACCGTCGGAATCTCTACGAGCAGGCTTTGGTATGGTCGGTGACCCATTTTCTTTCACATTATTACTGTCGGATGACTGTTCTGTAAATTTAATTTTTCAATCTTAAGTTACTCCTTAATGCAATTAAAGTATGAAGCATCAGAAGTACAGGTCTTAATGAAATATGATTGATATGACACACATTATGTGTATCGTCGTATTTTATTCATTTATATATAAACTTTATTGAATTGTGCCAATGAACAAAATCTCCTAATTTCATAAATACATAAATGCGATGAATATGTAATTACACAAATGGAAAAGTATATCTACGAATAAGAAATATGATGAGGATGGTCGAGCGACCTCTCTAGCAAGATAAATAAAAATTGAAATAATGTGAGATGATTCATGAGAAATATACATTGAAACAATTTTTATTTTGTAGATATAGTTTAGCATTTTGCACTGGAAAATCACCGATCAAACGTCTGGAAAAAAAAATATTTATATTTATAAAAATATCTTGAGAAGCAGGATAACGAAATAATTATTTGTAAATGTACACATAGAATATCTTACGTCGACGATTCTACTAATGCGATGGATGTGATGATTACCTGGCGTAATTCGTCTTCTACGCGACTTACGATTCCTATTTCCTGGCACGCGATTCTCAAATTTTCCAATCCTTTGCCGTGGTTGTGGTACCGGAACAAGACCAGGAGTACTCCGATTAGTTTTTGTCATGTTCGTCGTCGTGGTGGTGGTAGTTTGATCATCAGACTGCAACCATTGAGCCGCAACATCCTGAGCAGGTTCTTGTTCCTGTTCCGGTTGAATCGGTGGCACTTCACCTAACACTATTCTACGTGATTCGCCACCCACAGCGAGTAACATCACTCTCTCTCTAGTCCTTTCTCTCTTGGATATATCGCTTATTATCATTTAGATGAAGAATAATCGAAAATTCAATGCAATTTACCGTATGGAATCTTCTTAAATCACTGATTTTAAATAGACGGTATTAAACGCGATTATTTTAATACCCTATAAGAGAAATCTTCTTAGAAAATTAAAAAAAGAAAAAAAAAAAAAGAAAAATCTTTTCAAATCATATTGTCTTTATCATATTGTTCTAACTTCATATTTCTCTTGCATAGATATCGTCATGCATATTACACCAAATTAACGTTTGTCCCGTTCCACACGCGTATTTTTTTCACGTATCTATTAGTGAATACTAAAAAAGAAGAAAAAAAAAAAGAAGAAAAAAAAAAGAAAGAAAGAAAAAAAAATAATTGGAATTGTTCCCTCAACAGAGGGGAACGAAATGTTTAAAGGCACGTGCTCTCGTTGTTATACGGATATCTTCGACGACGTGCTTGACCTATTCCGAAAGTCTAGAGTTCGTATGGACTTTTTCACGAGCGAACGAATTCTCCCCTTTAGAATCGAAGAAGTGGAAGAGCGAAAACTAAAGGAACTTAAGAATGAATAGAAACTTAATAATGAGACTCGTCGATTAGAAAGCGAGCGAAAGTAAAAAGGGTGATGATAGAATGTTTGTTGGGTAAGCGTTGATCGAGATCTCGCGTTACTACTCCGATCGCAACTCGGAGAATGTCTCAGCCGCCACCGTCGCCTCCGCATCTCTTTCTCTTTCTCTCCACTAGTGGTGCACACGCTTTAGGTTATTGATCGTCGACGGAGTCTCTCCCTTTTTACAGTCAGTCAGCTAGCTAACCATCTAGTCAGCTAGCCAGCCAACAGCGCCACAAATCATGATTCATTCAGAGCAATTCTGATGCGAGTGGACCCACAGGTGAGCAAAAATACGATGCGGATGCACTCTACCATTTCTATTGCATTTTAAACAGTACCTATGGGTATATTTTATATATATATACGATACCGTATATACGTAGATCTATCGATCGAGATCGATCCTTAGTAATAGAATATAAACCTTAGAGAGAAATATATGCAACGTTGATCTGCTATCCTTTTCTTTTGATTACATTCAATTTTAAAGTAACCGCCTAAGCATTTTCATAATCGTACATGCATGTAGACGTTCACGTTAAAATTGCGCGCGTTGATCGCTGCGCACAATCCACATTAATTTGTTTTTTTTTTTTTTTTTCTTGTATACATATACGCACATATACTCTGGACTTGCGAAAGCAACTGCACACGTATATACCGCACGTTCCGTCGTCATAAATTGAGCATTAACGCGCATACGTGACCTCATAACAGAGATGCATGTATCTGCAGTACATTCCATATTTTGCTTTCGTTTAATCATTCTTTTTTTAATCATTTTTCTTTTTTTTTTTTTTTTGCAACTGTTTATACAATGATACTTAATGTAAGTTTATTATAGGATACATGATAGGAAAGGGCAGAGAGTACATCTCGATGACATTTATTATCGTGCATTGGATTAACGACGTCGAATGTTAATGAATGTCACGCAGGAGTTTTATAACATTAAAAGCGAAATGGTGGTGTCGAATAAATAATAAAATATTTAGACTCACCATTCGATCGTGCCCTTTCTTCAACCGTAGGAACTTGCCATCTGTCTCGTGACGATCGTAAAGGCTTCGGGGGTTTTTTTATACTCTCCATCAGCAATTCTCGAAGAGTGCATTCCTTCCGTAAGGGAGGTAATTGTCTCTCGGATGCCTTTTAATATTTAAAACATCGAGTATTATCATTAAAATGTATACATATTTAACCGATAATTGTTTTTCTTGCAACGGTTTGAATATTGTCTTTTAATCAATCAAAACTCCCCGCTACCTTTTTCAAAGGCGGCCGACTCCGAATAAATTCAAGGATAATAGCATGAACGTCCTTCTTTGAATAGGGTGTTGGCGATGGTGTCTTTTTTAGACGATACCTTCGTTCCCGTATATCATCCATTAAAATTTCATAAGGTGTTAATTCGAACTCCGCACCTCGTCTCTGCCCCTGTCCTCGTGATTGTAAATTGGCTTCTACTTTTTTCAATTTAACTCCTTTCCTTAACTCGCTGATAACTTGAACCCAAAATCTTGCCTGTGAATATATTGTATACATAATTTAACGATATTTTATACATGATGATTTACATGAATGCGTCGCACCAACAACACAACACGTAATAGAACGTGTGCATTCGTGTGCATTTATGTGTGAAAATATATCGCGTATTGCCTTGAAAAATGTATACACAATGACGTTCATATTACAGCTTCCAAATTATAGCAGTTGTTTAGGTGGTATGCTTTAGATAGTTCATATATATGTCTATATGTATTATGCATACATATATCTAATCATGCGGCATGCACCAAACTATCTTTTTATGATTATGACAAGTATTATCAGTTTACATTGTACACACAATTATCAATAATGACGTACTTGTATAGCTCTCCAAATCCTAATGTCAGTCTATAAGAGCAGACACACAAATCAATAGATGTTAAAAATCTTATCACTGAAAACAAAAAACACTGGCATACATCGATGCAACTATATTTTTTATTTTTTTTTTATTTTTATTTTCTTTCTTTTTTTTTCTTTTTTTCTTTTTTTTTTTATGCCACTTGAACAGAAAACATAGGATAAATTAAATTTGACAAAGAATTAAAAAAAATATATTTTATATCTTTGTTTATACAACTTACCCAGTCATTGAAACCTAATGTATCTAACTCGTGTAACGATGTTGATCCATGTTTCGCATTATCTATAGTAAGTGATGTTTTCTCGCCCTCGTGAAGCCTGTTTGTTGCAACTTTTTTTAAAAATTGAGATAATTCCAATGCTTCTGCTACATATGCCCGTATAACAGCACGATAATGCATCTCTGCTACTTCGGTTGTAGTCTCCATATGTATGGTACATAACTATAAATTAATTAAACAAATTTATATAATTTGTACAGATAGAATAATTATGATATAAATATATAAATATATATATATATTTTTTTCTTTTTAAATAAACAAATATATCAGATTTACATTCAAAACATGCTTTAAAGAGCACGTAGATGAATTTCCTTCATAAGAGGAATCAGTTTCTTCCATAACGAATTCGTCTATATCCATTTCTCCAGAATCTCTTTCAATACCTTCATCATCCGTTTCTTGTAAACGTTCAGTATCTGTCTCAGTTTTAGAATCTGTTAACAATAATTCATTCATAAATAAGAGATTATATAAGTCGCAGATTTTATAAGAAATAGTCTGTTGTAATGTGTTCTATTAGATTTTCTTTTTTATATTATTCGAAATACGATTATAATGTATGTATATAAAATATAAACTACTTCAACCTTGATCTGAATTTGTCATTAGTGTAACAAGCTTCTCCAAAGCAGGAGGTAAAGTTCTCTCTTCTCCTTTTTTAGAGCCAAAATCAAGAGCTTTAAAAACTATAGTACCCAGATAATAAACTGCCTATAAAAGAAATATAATTTATATTCATTATTATTTATTATATTTTAAAAAAATAATATAAAATTAATACTTAAACTGACAACATTTTTATCACTTACTTTTTGTTCAGAGACAACTGAACATTTTGTATCTGTAAAAGATAAAAAAAAGGAAATTAATACTTATTACTTATGGAAATAAATACTTTCTTATTTATAAACAAATTTTTTAAAACTAAACATTTGATGATTAAAAAGATAGAAGAATGAGACAATTACAACATACCTATAAAAACATTGCCATCTTTATGAAGAAATATTTGTGATAATTTTGACAACTTATAACATTTATTTTTTGGAAGAGAAGATAAGGTTTTAGCAGCCTGATAACATAATGCCCATGCTTGTTCTTCGCCGACAGGACCATTGAAAGATGACAATATATTTTGAAGATTTAATCTGCCTTTTTCATCAAGTTTGCATAAAGATGTTTTGTTTGATTTTTCAGACATTCCAATTTCTGATTTTGCTTCTTCATCTGAAGCCTCACTACTTTCCTCACCAGATATTGAATTTACCTCCATAGTTGTCATATTCGTCTAGAATCATATATAAACAATAATTATTTTAAAATTTATTAAATATATGATTTCATTCTGTCAGAAACTAATTGTTTAGAAAGCAATTAAATTTTCATTTTCATATTTCGTAATTAATATGAATATATTGAAAAAAAAATTATTATTTTCATTTTAACATTACATTTAAATTATTCATACTAAATAATATAAGTTTTCTGTCATGTATAAATTTTATGCTTACATTTTAACAACTAAATGCAATAATCGAACATCATTGATCGGAATACTTTGTTTATACAGTCGTAATATAAATGCTTTAACCGTACACTTCAATACACGGTCTTTAAATTTGTATGTCCAATATTTTAATATTGCATGAAACAATTATGTACGTACGAAAACTGTAATATTGTATGCGTATCATGCGTAAACACAATCATTACAAAAAAATTGAGTTACTAATAAAATTATTGTGCAATTTATTAGTTGTCAAAGGATTAAATATATTATTAAAAATGGTGAGATACTTTATTACGCTTTTTTTATAAATACTGTACCGCTATCAACTACTATTTGATACGAACTGACTAGAGATATCAAACCTCAAAGCAAAACTGACAAAAAATAGTTGAAACGAAATATGAGGCTAAAAAGTAATAAATGCTTCACTGACGCTCTCTGACGGCCTCATTACGCATTAATATCATATGATATTACTTACAAGCATTAGTGACCTATGAATGAGACAATAATCGTACTGCCTACATATATCAATCCACTGCCCTCTTGTGTCAATTTTACGTAATTTTCTACAATCAAAATAATAACTTAACCTCTTTATTCCTTGTCTTCCTTATATTGCAATTTTGAAAAAAGATATGTGTTAAATATATAATTAGGCAAAAGTCATTTTTTTAGAGAAAAAATAAGTTATTTCATTATTCGGCCAACAATTTGTCAAAGATACAATGGATGAGTGTCCGAATATTATTGTTCGTTTAGCAGTAGATAGAGCAGATATGAATTTAATTACAAATGAAAATGTACAACCACGATTTTATACTCCTGGAGAAGAAATTTCGAGTCAACCTAATTTTTTAAGGTAATAAAATAAAATAAAATAATGAATGATATTCATCGCACATACAAAAATATTGGAAAAATTTAATATTATTTTATTAGGGGTCATGGAACTTACGTTGATGATGAAAATACATTAAGAGCTTCAGTTGCTGGGGTTTTAGAAAAAGTTAATAAATTAATATCAGTACGACCATTGAAAGCACGTTATCAGGGTGAGATTGGCGATGTTGTTGTTGGACGTATAACTGAAGTACAACAAAGGCGTTGGAAAGTTGATACAAATTCTAAACTTGATTCAGTTCTGTTACTATCTAGTGTAAATTTACCAGGAGGTGAATTGGTAAGAAATGATTTTTATTTGAATAAACATTACTTATATATATTACTTGTGTATGTTAAATTTCATACTTCTTACAGAGACGACGATCTGCTGAAGATGAACAAACAATGAGACGTTACTTGCAAGAAGGAGATTTAATTTGTGCAGAAGTACAAAGTACTTTTGTAGATGGTTCTCTATCATTACATACAAGAGTTCTAAAGTATGGTAAATTGTCTCAAGGAATAATGTTAAAAGTACCACCTGCTCTTATAAAGAGAAAAAAGATACACTTTCACAATTTAGAGAATGGAGCTAGTTTAATATTGGGAAATAACGGCTATGTATGGATTGGTGCTAATACACAAGAAACAGATAAATCAGAGGGTGGTTTTACGCAGGACTTGTCTAGAGTACCTCAAGATAATCGAGAAGTATGTGCTCGCCTTCGTAATTGCGTTCTAATTTTGGCACAATGTAATATGAAATTATCTGATACATCTATAACATATGCTTATGAAGAATCTATGAAATATAAGGTGAGCGAATTATTGCTACCAGAATCAATAGTTGATATATCGTTGTTAACACATCAAAGACTTGCACAATAATTTAATATAATAATTAACAATAAAAACATATTGAGAAGAAATTTTTTGTTGTAATTTATTAAATAAAAATGACATGAAATTGTATTTAAATAAAATGTTACTTTTTTACTATATCCTAATTGTTGATATTTATTGAAAACATAATAACTAATTTATATGTTATCATAAAGAAAATATGTGATATTGGATGTATGTGTAGTTCAATCATTTGTGATTATCTTATATGATATGAAGACTGCAATGATCAATAATCTTTTTCCTATATTACTAGTAAAGGAATGTATATATATACAATATTGCAGCATTTGATTAATAACTATACTTTAGCTAAATAGCACTTTGTAAGGTGTTCACATAGAAATACCCTAAGTATTGATTAAACAAATAACTTGGAAACGAACAGCAAAAGTGGACAAACATGGATGCATGTTTTACTGCCTTTGACAAAGATGAAGATGGATTTCTATCTGTATCAGAATTTAAACTTATATGTAGTGCCTTATTTCGCAATAATCTTGGTAAAGTTTATGCACTTGAAGAAGATCAATTGCAAGAAATATATTCAATCTTTGATCTAAATAATGATGGAATGATAGACAGGGAAGAATTTGAAGTGGGTATAAATATATTTGTACATACATGTAAGTAAAAAGTGTTTTATCAATTTATTATATATTCAGATATGCTGGAATCTTTGGATTAAAGTTTGCACACGTCCAAAAAGTGCCTTTCTTATTGTGGATGTACAGAATGATTTTATATCAGGATCTTTAAACATTAAACATTGTGCTGCACAACATGAGGGATTAGAAGTAATTGAACCTATTAATCGTTTATTGGATACAGTAACATTTGATGCTGTATTTTATTCACTTGATTGGCATCCTGTAGATCATGTATCTTTCATTGATAATTTACCTTTCAGGTACCACTTTCTAATAGTTTCTTTATACTTTATTTTATTACAAGTTTTTTGTATATAATTTTATATATATATATTTTTTTTATAGGGAAATTGATGAAAGCGATGGTATATCTAAAGAAATGGTCCGAGTATATGACAGTGTAACATTTAAAGCATCACCTTCAATAAAGCAAAGGCTCTGGCCCCGTCATTGTGTTCAGGATTCATGGGGTGCTGAACTTCATAAAGATTTAAAAATAGTTAAAAATGCTATAAAAATTTACAAAGGAACTAATCCGGAAGTAGATTCATACTCCGTATTTTGGGATAATAAAAAATTAACAAAGACAACATTAGCTTCACAATTACAAGAGATAGGCACCACAGATATATATATTTGCGGATTAGCATATGACGTATGCGTAGGTGCTACTGCTGTTGATGCAACAACAAATGGTTATCGTACTATTCTTATCGATGATTGTAGCCGTGGAGTTGATTTAGTGGATATTGAAAAAACGAAAGCAAATGTAATAGCTAATAATGGAATTATTGTAAATTCAAGTCAAGTAAAAGCTATGGTTGAAGGAAGAGATAGAAGACCAGAACTCGGATATAAACTTGCTCTGGAAATTAAAAAGAAATTAAGTGCCATAAATGAGGTTGACAAATAGTTTGCTTCTAATATAAAAATAAAGTAGAAAGAGAGAGAGAAAGAGAGAGAGAAAGAGAGATAGAGAGAAAGAGAGAGAGAGAGAAAGAGTATATAAATATATATATATATATAATAATTGTACAGTGAAATGTATAAAGACTTAGTAGGCTATAAATGAAGACCTATTGAAAATTAAAAGTAATATAATATAAAATAATAAAATACTATATTTATTATATACATTATTAAAAGAGAAGTATATATATTAATAATCAGCTGCATTACTGGCTAGATAATCACGGCGGCCAATATTCGATGCTTGTTTATTTTGAATAGCTTCCAGTTTAGGACATTCAGTAATTCTGTGCCCAAGACCACCGCAATAACTGCAACCACGTTCATCTGTAAGATTAAATGATAATATAGGTTTCTATCGAAGTAAATGAATAATTAATAAAATTTGTATAAATTATTTTACCTCCCAAATTAAGGTATTTTTCATTTTCAGAACAAAGTTCAAGTAAAAATGGTGGAACTTTCTGTTTTGCTTCCATCAATAAATGTTTAAGATCAAGTAATACAGATTCGTCATTTGCTTTATTAATAAATGTTGTGGCTATTCCAGTTCTGCCTGATCTTCCAGTTCTTCCAATTCTGTGTACTGAAATAATAGATTATTTTCATTGCATGCATACATGTAAAAATAAACAATATTATTTTTAAATTTATCAATAATTGCAAATCAAAGTACCATAATTTTCTACGTCATCTGGCATATCGTAATTTATAACATGTTGTACATCTGCAAAATCAAGACCTTTAGAAGCAACATCCGTTGCTACTAATACATCTTTTCTGCCAGCACGAAACGCTTCAACTGAACGCGATCTCTCTTCTTGATCTGAAAAAAAAAGAATACAAGTAAAAAACTGTAAAATTCTGATATTTTGATGACAAATTTTTTCTTTAAATTTTATTACCTTTTCCTCCGTGTATTGCTACAGCTTCTACTCCTTTTAGAAGTAGATACTCATGAATAGCATCAACATCCTGTTTTTTTTCAGCAAATATAAGTACAGGTGGTGGAGTCTTTTGAAGACATTCTAGAAGGTATACTATCTTAGCCTCTTGTTTTACATATTCTACCTCTTGAATTACATTCATTGAGGCAGCACCTGCACGACCAACATTTATTGTTACAGGTTTTACTAAGGCTGAACGAGCAAAATTTTGAATCTTTTTTGGCATAGTGGCAGAGAATAGTAACGTTTGTCTTTGGCCCTATAATAAAAATATTTTTCATTTTTATTTCATTACATATAATTATAATTCATACTAAAATTAATAATGTGTTAAACATACTCTGAAGAAAGAAAAAATCGTCCTCACGTCCTCTTCAAAACCCATGTCTATCATACGATCTGCTTCATCCATACATAAATATCTACATACACTTAATTTAACCATTTTTTTGTCTAGCATATCCATAAGACGTCCTGGGGTAGCCACCATTATATGTACACCTCTGCAGATATTAAATTATTGTTAATAATTACATGTGAATAATTACATGTTAATAGCTAAAACAATTGTCACATACTTATTAATGACTTCTAAAGATTCAGATACAGGTACTCCACCAATTGCTAAACAACTACGTATATCGGGACAACCAGCTTGTCTTAAACTATTTGTGTAATGACGAATAATATCGTAAGTTTGTTTTGCTAATTCTCGTGATGGACAAATTATAAGACCTATAAAATAATATAAAATGGTGTTTCTAACAATACATTCTTAATAATATATATTGTAATGTTATTTAACTATCTAAATAATTACCATATGGTCCTTCGTTTCTTATAAAGGGCATACCCACTTCTTGTTCTAAGCAAAACATTATAATGGGTAGAACAAAAACCAAAGTTTTACCACTTCCAGTAAAAGCTATACCAATCATATCACGACCAGAAAGCCTGTTATAGATTCATTGATTAATTAAATAATAATATTAAAGTTTACCGATAAGATCAAAATCAATAAAAAATATAAAATAAAATAAATGTATTACTGACACAGTAGGTATTCCTTGTACTTGAATCGGAGTAGGTTTAGTGATTCCTTTCTGTTCTAAACCATTCAAGATACCTCTGTGAAATTTCATTTCTTTAAAGCTTTTTAAAGGAGGAGGTACATCATCTCCCTCTACCAAAATTCTTAATTTCTTCCTAACTCTTTCATGTCTTGTTTCTCCAAGATTAAGTACTACCTTTGGAGGATGCCAACTAGTTTTTATTGGATCTTCATACTGAATACCTTTTGCCAATTCAGCAACCCCCATTAAAGCTTTATTTTCTGCCACACTTTCCAATATCTTTTCTTCTTCCTTTAATTGTTTTTCCATAGCACTCTCTTTTTTAGCTGCATACATATAACATTAATATTTTATTAATTTTATTTCATGATAAGTTTATACTTGTTTTTAGCTATGAGTTACCTTCTGCCAATTTTTTTAATTCTGTATGTTGATCTAGAAGAGAAATATTAGATTTACGGCCCCAAACTTGACCGTTATCATCGTCAGCATCGTCCTTTTCATTTTCGCTGCTACTTTTTCCAATACCACCATTTGCACTTTCTTCTTTCAACTGATTAATTTTACCAAGTTTAATAAGCTGTTGCTTTTTTCGTTCCTTAACAGATACATACGGTACATAATCCTCATCGGTGTCAGAGAAAGTATTTTTCTCTTCTTCTTTCCTGTATCTCTATACATATTATACAATATATAAATATACTTACATACATGCAATTAATAATGAAATAATCAATATAGTCAAATTTACTTACTTTTTTAGATCGTTCATCGCTATTAATCTGACTCATAATGATTATTAACAAATCGTATAAACTAATATTAAATTCATAATATTAAAAAAAAAATTACTCTATTACAAAGTACCTCATTATTTTATAAACAAAATTGTATTTTATTGATATGTTAAAATATTGTTAAAAATAACTATACAATCTACACCTTAATACAAGTAAACAATATTTGTAAGGTTAAGGCTGTACACTACTTTTTGTTCGAAGTGTGACTTTAGCGACAAGTATGGACAAAATATGAACTACGAATATAAACGGGGAACTCTGTCCCCATCATGCGCCTATCGTGTCGATGCATAAGCTTATATCTTTCCTTGATGATAGCGTGCATCTCGCAATGATCCATGCTAGATACGACGTCGATACGCATTTTAGTCATGATAAAAGTATAAAGAATAATAAATATAATTAACGTATATGATAATTAATATATAAATTTGCGAATTTAAAGAAATTATTTTTGAATTTAACTATACCTTATCTATTTTCTTGTAGAAGTATTATTGGTAATGTAAAATGTTAATACTTTAATGTTTAATCAGAATTAATTCAAAGAGATTTTGAAAATATAGTGAAATATGCAGCCATTCGCCCAGTAATACTTGCGTTGCGTGATTTACAATTAAATTCAATATAACGTAAGTACTACCGATCCAGGTCTCACTACATATAAGTTGCTGTATATGAAAACCCATGAACTGACGTTAACTCTACTCTAAAATCCACGTTTCATGGTACCGATTCGCTATGTCTTTCCTCTTCGGGAACTTCAGGCTTCTTAACTAACAGGAGATGTATGAGACCCCGCTTACCGTCCAACATAGTCATCTTCAAACATAACGAATTATTAAGCACGAATTTCGAACAATAAAATCCTCAGTAGAACTTTTAATCACGTTCGCAACCTTCATGTGTGTGCTATGCCGTCCGCAAGTCGAATCAAAAATTGTTCGTTTCGCGCCGGAAGAACTGACTCACATCATTTCGCTTGTCGCCGGCAATTTTTCGAGGACCTTGGGAGACAAAAATCGTCAAGTTTTACAAATTTCATCGGCAGTTCTCAATTTAGTCCCTTTATTTGATCGAAATTGTGAAGATACAGATATGTAAATAAATACAAGATTTTTTTGTATTAAAATCAAGTATTTATTTAATAAATTTTTGTTAAATACTTAGTATTTATTTTTCAAATGATACGAAGCGAAACAAAGTATAGTATAACTCCACAAGACTTACACATCAAATTTGTTCTCCTAATTTGTTTGTTTTTATAATATACATGACACCTTCTTCGTTTTCGGTTGTCGGTTTCAGAAATACGTATCAGCTGGTGTTCCTTTAAGTTGCCGGAAAGTTTATTGATCGAATCACGATTGGAAGCATGCGATGTACTAGCGACTTCAAAGTTTTCTTCATTAACAGGTAAATAATCCTTTATTCACGATTCGCATACTTTTAATAAAATCTATTATATTTTTATTATATCTATTAATCGATAGTATATGATAGTACATATATATGATTTTTAGAACGTTGAAAAGAATATCATATTGTTCAAATATTAATTAATTATATTTTACGTATATAGTACATTGTTTAAATGGTAATAAAATAATTTTATTTTATAATAATTCTTTCCCGAGTTCGCGATCCCACGACTTGGAACTAGCTGAAAAGAAATAAGAACAAAAAATATGTATATATGTATATCATTTAAGTGAAAGATAAAATTCTAAATTTAATTTAATTTAACTTAAGAAAAATAAAAGAAAATAAAAAATTCTGGATACTGATGATAAAGAAATATTTTCTGTGAAAGAAGTATTGTATTAGTAACGCGTGACAAAACTTGAAGAACTTAGCACACATTCCATTTTGCTTGTTTCAGCTCGATGGACATCTTTATTTAGTGTATTTCTATTGGTTTCCACAATTGCTATATCTTATACGTTCCGCAGATATGTGACTTTAATCGAACTTGATTTTATTAAAATAAAATTATGAATTTAATTGAGCTTTAGAAAAGAGAAAATGTGCAAAATTTATATCTCGATTTTAATAATAAAGATGCATAAAATATGAAATAATCCTATTTGCGTACGCGTGGCAATGTGGGACCGGAGATGGAATGTTACGTCGTCTCAGTTTTTCAAATCTATACTACTACACCCATCACTATAAGAGCATTTTAAGTGACAACATGGTAAAATTAAAATATGACTAAGCCATTCTCGAAAGATTTCGAAGAATCTTCGAAAATAACTCAATAGTCTAATTAATTCCGTTTTTAAACCACAGTTTGTGGAAACCTCTTCGGTATATAGCCTCTTCTTTGCTTCGTATCCTAATCACTAGTACAGAGCAATCGATAACTATCGTTAATGCAGAAGAACTAAAATCTAAACTTATTCTAAAACGTAGAAGAAAACTGATAAATCTAACGCAACTATAACTCAATCCTGAAAAGAAAAATCGAGAATGTACTAAAAATTCATTAATTTATTCTAAGGCCTACGAACTGTAATTCTACAACTCTTTTTGTTTTGTATCAATGACTCTATTCAATTTTCATCTTACAAAAGCAATGATCCTACTTGATTTTCTTCATTCATGGATGAAGAAATGAATGATTCTATAGAGACTATTCTTTTACCAACAAAATTGATTAAATATTTGATTAATTTTTATTTAAAAATGTAATAAAAAAATCCTTGAATGATCCTTCTTATAAGTGATTACTCTAATTATTAGAAAACAGATCATACAATTTCGCTTGTAATTCAGAGCCTTATCCATTGCAAATGTCTTCTTGCTCATTTTTTATTAGAATCCATGAATAATGATTTTTTACAATTTATGCGAGAAAAATATTTAATATTTTAAAATATTAAAAATTTGAAATAATTATAAATGTGTTTGAACAAGAAGACCCTATCCTGATTTAATAAATAAATCAAAAATTAAGAGACTATTCATGACTAAATCTCCGAAGGAATTTATTTGTGGTCACTCATTCCTCTTCTACTAATTCTTCTACAACCTTCTAAAATCTTCTACAATCAATCACTCGTGCCGATTCGGACCTCTTGTCCTCGACATGACTGAGTGATCGGAGGGACTGTATTGCACGTAGTCGATGCAAAAACACTTGCTGTTTAAATCGCGAAATGCAAACGAACAAACACTGCTTCTACTTTGCAATATTTTTAATTTAGAGCACAATGATGTTCTGAAACGAAACATTTCCGATATGCGAAAAAATAAAAATAAAACTATTAGTATCACCGTTATAATAAGAAACTGTATAAATTATTGAAGAAACGTGTGATATAAAAGTATACTTCAAATATTTGTTGATACTTGCAGCAAAGACATACTGAAAAACTTTTGATATTTACTCGTTGAAAGTTCAAGAAGAACAGATCCGGTAATCATAAAAGTTAATAAAAAGTCCGAATATGTCGATATAGCACATGGTCAATAGTCTCGAAATGAAAATTTTGAAGTATTGGAATTTTAAATTGAAATTATTTTAAGTTTCTCGTGCTAATTTTAGAAAAAGCTTTTTATTTGTCCATAAACTATTCTCGAAAAATGCTATTTTTTAATATAATTTTTTTCAAAGAAAATAAAGCTTTTCCAAAAATTCGAGAAAGATATGTTCTAGATCAAAACTTCATCTTTAAAATGAGACCTTGTTCATCAAAATTGGTTAAGAATTACGCCTGTTCTCATTAATAGCATAAATCATTATAGAACCAGAGATAGTGAACAACAAGGATATGGCTTTACGAATTTTTTAAAAAATTTTATTTTTATGCATAAACTATTGTCGCAAAGAATAACATTTTGTGACATGATTTTTTTCGAAGAATAAATAAGAATTAATAACATGTTAGAATATAGTCGGTAAAACAGGAAGCTAGTATTATCTGTAGATCGATAAAATAGGACTTTACTATTATCGATAGGTTTGTTCCTTACTCTATTAGAGAAACGATAGAAAAAAATAACTCTGGGTTATAATTCAAAAATATTGTAGAAATGAACAGTAATGAAAAGCTTTAATGTCTCCACAACATTATTCGAAGATAACTTTATGCCTTATCAAGACCAATATAAGACAGTTAATTATTGAATTTATATTTTATTTAAATTTCTTTTGAATATTTTATTAAATTATCTTTTATAAATATAGCACCACGTTCAATCTTGTATACAAACAAAATAAAATATAACAAATAGATTAGATAGATAAAACTAAGTATATACTCTATAAAATCTATTTGTATATCGTTTGTGTATACATATATAATTAAGTTTTTATATACAGTTGCCTAAACTATAATACAAATTTTACCATTTACTAATAATGAGACTGCGATGTAATCTCGTAGAATCTTCAAGTACATCATCAGGATTTAAAATTTGTGAATAAAAACTTTCTATTATGCAGATTTCTTCATATAAATCTTCTGTAGTCATTTCTAAAATATTCGCAGCTTCATTTAATAACCAACGAAAACTTCTTGGTAAAATTTTTTCAAATAATTCAAAATTTTTCCCTTTGACACGACTGAATATACAGTGATACATCCAGTAATCTTGAAAAGGACAGTAAAATTTCATGTTATCAAGTTTTTGTTCGATGGAATCTATGTCCTTATTTAAAGGAAAATTTGTTTCATTGATACCTTGATTTTCATCTAAATTATCAGATATATCAAATAAATCTAAACAATCATCCAAATCTTTTAAATTGTCACTATAATTATATTCTCTATCAAGTATTTGTTTTTGTTCTTCCAATATATCATATGACTCTTTGAATATATCCATTTCAAGATTATCAGATTGATTCAGGCTAACATCAAAATTTAATCCAGTAAAATTATGTAATTCATAGAAATTAAAATTATCTATTACATTAGGATTCATGAAATTATACATATTCATAAATTTTTTTACTTCTACAGCTTTTATAAATTTTCCTTTTGAATCACGAAATTGATGCATTTTACGTTTCATAAAATCTTCAACAGTTTCCTCTTTTTGTGGTTTAAGCATTGATTCTTGTTCATAATGTGTTAATTCAATATTATATTTCTGATAAAATTCTATATTCATAAATTCAGTTTTTTTTTCAGTATCTTTAGGATATAATACGTCATCTTCCGATTCAGAATTATCTTCTTTGGGTATTAATAATTTACCACTTGGTAAAACATCTCCAAATATAAAATCATTATGATCATTACATTCGAAATTTGTTATCTTTTTAAACGAACTTTGTACATCATCAAAATGCTGTAGTTTTGTATCGTTAATTCTAGTATAGCAAGGTATATTTTTATCCATATAACTAACAAAATTTTCTATCTTTTTTACATTTTCTTCTTTTGATACAATATAATCATGTACTCGAACATCTTCTTTAAGTTCCAACAAATTTGTCATCTTATTTGGTTCAAAGAAAGGTACAATTTTATCGATAAAATGTGATCTAGAATCTATAATTTCCAAATTTATATTACATTGTGCAGCAAGTTGTTTAAAACTGTAAAAAAACATAATAGTTACAAATAAATATTTTTAACATAAATACAGGTAAAAATATATATACAATGGATTTTACTTACTCTTTGACATGAGTCATGTACCCAACTTTTGTTACATAAAAGTCAGTTTTTAATATATCAGGAAATTCGTTGGAGGCATTATCATAAAGTTGTTGAAGATAAGAATAAAAAGGAGTTAACGAGGGAGTAAATATTGTCATGTCTTCTGATGGTGTGTTATCTTGATTTAATTTTTCAAAACACCGTTTCATAGCATCAGAAAGATCTCGTGGAAAAAGATGCTTATAATTAGTTATTTCTGGAGTTTCTCCATCTTTTTTTGATTTAATAAATTCCAAAAATTTAAAATACATATGATTTTTTAGCGGTATGCTTGGATTGTATTTCAATTTTGTTGGAAAATGGTTATTTACTAAAATATTTTTCCTACATTCAATGTATCTTTGCCATTCACAAAAACTAAATAATTTTTTATCAAGTACATCTCGTTTTTTGGCTACACTGAAACAAATACAAAAAAAAAAAAAAGATAGAATAGAACCTTTTAAATGATACATTTTAACAAATTAGAAAAATAAATATATCATAAAAAAAATAATTACAAAGAAATGTTTGCATTAACAAAATTTGTTTGCATCAAGATCTTCATAAACATTTGTTTTCCGTTCATTTAAATCTGCCCCATATATAATCATATTATTTTTAATAAAAGCATATGGCATTCTTTTGTAAGTAAAATATATATCCCAGGATCCATCTCTTTTAAGTACAATACCACCGCCATTTTTCTTAAGTTTAGTCAACATGTAATCTAAGTTTCTCTGTAATGCAGTTCTTGGATCATAACCTTGATTAATATCTTCTGCAATACATCGGGCCATTCCAAGCTTTATCATAGATTCTCCATGACCCGTTAAAGAACATCCTACATTTTTATCAGCATATGTTCCACATCCCAATAATGGAGAATCTCCCACTCTTCCAATCAGTTTTCTATTTAAACCACCTGTTGTTGTTCCAGCAGCAATACTATAACCATCCCATGCCACACAACCAACAGTTCCAACACTACCTACAGATAATGTTAAAATAATATTTTTCAACAATTGTAATATTTTTACTTTATTACTTTGCAATGTTTGAATATGTTCTAAATCTTCCATGTTATAATCAGTTATATATCTTTCATTTTCACTTAATTTATAGGCAAGATATGCAGCTGGTGCAACCATATTCCCTTGTGATAACCAATTTATATTTGCACATTGTGCTAACTGTTTAGCACTTTCTCCAACAATTATATTATTTGGGAGATTCTCCAAAACGTACCTAGCAAGCGATATAGGATGTTCTATATCTGAAATTGCTGCTACTGAGCCACATTCAAATTTATCTCCGTCCATAATACCTGCATCCATTTGTACTTGTCCTATATTTAATACATATATCAATATTTAAACTATATATATTTCTTATAGAATTGGTACATATTTCTACCTATTTCATTTAATACAGATCCATAACCACAATTAAAAAATTCATCACATTCCAACCACCATAAAGCTGTTTCTACAGCTTCTATAGAACTACCTCCCTTTAATAATTTTTTATATCCATTAGATGCAGCTTTCTGACAAGCTGTCATTTTTTCAATAACCAAAACATCTTCACAATTTCCTACACCACCGTGTACAATTATACACGGTAAATTTGTATCCCTTTGACAAATACACTTCTTTTCCAAGTTATTATATGTTACATTTTTAAATGTTTCATCTATATTGTTTCTTTGTTTAAAACTATTATTTTTTCGATAATGACATTTTGTTATAGACATAATGAGTGATTTTGTAATACAAATATTTTTATAAAATTTGAGACAAATATAAATAAAAATTTAACCTCCTCAATTAAAATGTCATTTTTCTCATAAACAAAAAATTGAAAGGTGGAAAAATAACACAACTTACTTATTAATATGTTCTGCAGTCTTACTAATAATATTCTCTGTTATACCATCCAATCCAAATAACACTTTTAATACAACTATAATAAATGCCATGGCACGTGCTTCATAGTTAGGGATGTATGGCCTCTTAAAATCAAAAAGCATTGTTGGAGGAGAGAGAGCAATAAATCTTTCAGCATATAGTAATACTCCTCCTAAAAAATATTTTAAGAAGTAATGCATAATTAATAATAGTACATTTTTTTATATATTAAGAAGTTATATATTAAAAATTTTCATACTTGGTAATGCTAATTCCTGACAATAACGACTGATCAGTGGAAAAAGATTTGGACAACTCATTTTTTTAATTCCAATAAATTTTGCCATACTTGCAGCTATCCTTCTCATACCCTTATGGGTTATCTCTGTATTTTGTGTTAAAAAATTCACATCATTCTGAGACAGTTTCACTTCAGATGGAACTAAATGATCTAATCTATAGTAAGACATATGACCCTCTCTTGCATATCTAGCAAATTACATTATATATACATACAGTAACTAACAAAAAGAAAAAAGATTTATTTTTAAATCAAATGAAGTATTATTATAATTACGAACCTTAACATATCACTTAACTGTATTGGTTCTTTATGAATTCTTAGGCCAAGATAAACAATAGCCCACAGTTTCATTGCTGTAATTATATATGGTCCTGCTTTATATTGAGTAGTAATATGTGTTTCTCTGTATTTAATCCTTTTTCCATAAGGAATTTTTTTGGATAATTCTTTTATTTTTTTAGATTCCTCTTTTGCATGTTTGCTAAAGGATACCCTATATAAAAAGTTTTAATTAATACATATTCTAATACATATTAAGGTTTCATTTTATAGTTATAAGCAAAACATACTTTCCTTCTGCTTCAATTGATGTTCCTCCATCAGAGCTGTAACCACTTTGAGTAATTGCACTAAAAGCATCAGAATTTGTTTGAGATTTCATATATTTTTCATAATCTGCATTTATCATGAGTTTCTGTTAAAACCAATTAAAGTAGCATATATTATTTTAATATCATTTCATCAATTTTTTTATAAAGCAAAGAATTTTACACTGCAGTAGAGTACCTTGTTTCTATGTAACATTTGTGAACCACCATCACTTTGAGTACCAGAAATCATAGAATTACTTGCACTATTTATATTTGTTCTATTCCGTTTTCTAATCTTCCTTTGTGATCGAACTTTGCCATAAATGATTTCTGCATCTCTGTAATAAAATGGTCATAAATATAACAAAATTTTGGATCTCATGTTTTAATATAGTCAAAGAAATATAAACCAACTTTTTACGATATCTTTTAGATAGTTTTGGTATACATTTCTTAGTTATCGAAATGAATGCAACTTCGAGTTTGTTTAAATATGCTGCCCATAATTGTAGCACAGTCAATTTTATATCCGGCGAAGCACCAAGTTCAATCAGTTCATCGGTTAATCCAATTAAAACAAAATTATATATTTCCCATGTTGTCCATCCTTGATTTTCACCTGCACAGTCATTCAAATTTAGTATATATACTTCAATAGTACTATAAAAAATGATTACGATAGATACCCGGTAACCAAACAAGACAAATAAAATTAAATATAAAATATAATATTAACCATGTTTTCGGTCTTTCTGTTGTTTTATTGTAATCTTTCGCAGTTTCGTAGTTGGATCTGCACGAATTTCCAATACTTCTTCTCTTATTTCCTGAATAATGAAAATATAATGTTATATCATAACCTTAAAGTAGAAAAATAGTTTTCGATATACCTCATTTTGTGTTTGACAGATTTCACAATAAAAATAACCGGCTTCCTTGGAAAATTGTGTACCACCGCAAACTCGGCATACTTGCTTAATTTTTGTATCTCCTTCCATTAAAACTTGTTGAATTTGACAAGCAGAACACACGTGTTAATCAAATTAAAACGTCATTTTAAAAACCGCCTTTCTTCCCTACTATTTTGATAACATTTTTTATAATAGGTTTACTACTAGAGGACACTACGAGTACGTTCGTAATATACCCATAGCAGATAAATTAGATCTCTAAAAATTCTAAGTATCCTTTTATAATTCTAAAAATGTCCCCCTTTATAATTCTAAAAGATGACTATTTGTCAAATAATATATCCATTAAAAAAGAACGTAAGGCCGTGTTTTACATATCGTAAACGTACATATAATTTTCCTTAGACGCATATATAGAGAAAGAAAGTAATTCAGTCCAGGTACAATTAAATCCATAGTCACATCTTCGTCGGTTTTACTTCTCTCTTGTATCGTTTCCACCGGTGCACTTCCGTTGCAAGAATATAAATAAATAAATAAATATAGCTCTAATAAATAGAAATATTTAGAAGCCATATATTCATTTCTTTCCGATCATATTCGAAAGCAATTAAAAGAGGGTAGAAAAAGAAAAATTGCTTCTTTATGATATAGTCCGATAGTGTGGGGGTTAAGCTATAGGAGAATTACGAATCGGCTGTATAGTTCGCAAGCACTCAGAGTATGTGTTAGATAAGTAATGTATAAAAGGTCACGCGCGCGCGTGATATGTGTGTATGCGTTCATGCGCATGATCCCTTCGTTATCGGTAGACAGGACACTCGGCGGGGCACAGACTCGGGCAGTGACTCGAGTAGTCAACACGACGTTCCTTCCCTCGTAAGTTAACCAAAGGTTTAGAAAGAGACAGACAGACAACCCCGGTGGCGCTTCGATCGAGCGAACTGTTGCACTCCGAAGTGGCTCGGGTACCCCGGTCCTTGTCCCCCGCGATTCGTTGGGGACTCGAGAGAAGAGTCACGTCGGCGCGTTGTCGCTTTCAGTAGTAAACACCAACTCGCGTAAGACGAATCTCGGATGTTCGTGTTCACGTTCTGTCATCGTCGAAATCATCCGTATCTTTTGGTAGCAAAGTTTTATCGCGTTACTAGTTATTATACCACCGATTAACCAAACCAACGACTCCACCGTCGTCATGATTATTCGTCGGTGTCCATTAAAACGTTTTTACGTGTTTCAACGTTTATACAAATTGAACACGAGACTCGATGCGTAGTTTCCTCGTCGTCCTCGTCGTCGTCGATGTCGACGAGCATCTTCGTCTTCTTCATGAATAATCTATAGAGTTGCTACTATCATTGTGGTGTAATCGTCGTCGTCGTCGTCGTCTTCGTCGTCTTCGTCGTCTTCGTCGTCGTCGTCGTCGTCGTCGACGTTTAAGCGAGACGACGAAAAAGGAGAGAGAAGTGCGTGTGCTTTCGTGTTTCCTAGTGATCGAGGACGGCAAGTTTTAATGGGACGATCGCATAACTCTTCTCCTCCTCGTTGTTACCTCTCGTCGACCTGCTTGAGAAAGCACGACTTTCTCTCTTCTGTTTTTCTTCTTCCTTTTTGTCTTCCTCTCTTTTTCTTTTTCTTTTTCTTTAAGAAGTGCTTTAACGCCGCTCGGAGGACCTAGGTGTGGGCCTTTCGAAGATATATTCCAACGTATTCTTTATTTTCTTTGGAAGTTCTTCGTACACCACGGTAAGCCTCCCAATATTTTCTACTTTTTTCTTTCGTGCTTCTTTATAAGAGAGTTAGGTCTAAGTGCTTCGTTCTTAAAAAAAAAAAAGAAAAAAAAAAAAAAGAAAAAAAATCCTCAAGGGACATTTTTTAAAGCTCTTCACATCGACGAGAATTCTTTTCATCAAAGCGAAGAGTGTGCAACCCTCTTTTCTGCTTTTGCGTGATACATGATATAAAGGAGTGTGTATCGGGTTTTCCATACTAAAAGTAAATTACAGAACGATAAGATCAACGTGTACGTAAGCACCACAAGATTAAACTACGAGACAACGTCGCGATGCATGCTGGACACAGGACATCGAATCGCGAAAAGGGAAGAGGGGGATATGAAATGAGCGTCGGTTTTACAGGTTAATTTTTTTTTCTTTATTTTTCATGATCCGTAAGATCACATACTCTGGGAAGAAAGTAAATCTTATTCTTTTTACACGTTCGTTGTGAGTCAAAGTTAATTTTTGTAAATGCAGTTTTGCATGTAACTATCTTCTTTGAGTTTTCATAAACTCTACTTTGACTCGAGTTTTTATCCGCACGATTTTTTTTTTTGCTTCAATTTCATTTCAATAAGAACTCTATGTCAATTAATAATATGATTCGTACAATATTTCGATATTTTATATATGTTATATGTTCTTATCTCTCGAAATTTATCGAAAATGGATATCATGCGGAATCGCGACATCAATGGGGATTTTTAATAAAGCGCATCCGCCATATTGGAAAAATAATAGATCCTATTGGTTGGTTATTGGTAGAAACGAATTATAGAGTGACGACACCATAGGAATAAAAGTATACGCATATGTATAGCATTAGAATTAGCATTACCAATGCAGAAAGAGAATGTTATGCGTGTGTCGAGGAAAGTATCTCCTTGTAGTTGATCCATGTACTATATACATACATTGCTATTACACGACTAGCCCATCCATTGTTATTATTCGCAGCACGTCGTAACGTGTACGTACTATATAGTCTGTAATAAGTTCTTCTTTTTTTTTTCTTTATAGAAACGGTCAGTTCGATTTTCTAGTTCGACCTTGAAACTATTCAGGTCCTTGTCCTCGCCGGAAGATTTCTGTTTCTTTTTCGTTAATATTGCAATTTTTTTTTCTTTCATAGATACATGCGCGCGTTCTCACATGTGTGTGTACGTAGGTGTGTTTATACATATATACATTGATCGAACGCGGTCAAGACACCTGAACGATCGCATGTGATCATTGTCGGTCGAATTATCCTGATACTCTCTAATATAGATATTATCTAAGATATTTCTCTTTGATTCGTCAATCGATGAAAAGCAATACGTTCTGCTTGATATCGTCATCACATCGTAATTATCTTTCTCTCTTTCTCTCATGTCCGTTCCCATGATAGATAATACGAATCGGGCCAAGGTTTTCCTTGGTCCTTTCTTACATTTTCATTGTTCGTTCATAGATTCCTAATCGAGATCATAGATATACACAATATACCGAATTTTCCGCGCTTAGTTAAGGCGCGACTTTCAATCGTTGTTCTTCGACCTTCGCGATACTTCCTCGCGATATATCAACATACATACATATATATTTCGTCGACTGTTTTTACGCAGAGTCAGAAATAAAGAAGAATCGATATTTGTCAGAGAGAGAGAGAGAGAGAGAGAGAGAGAGAGAGAGAGAGAGAGAGAGAGAGAGAGAGAGAGAGAGAGAAAGAAAGAAAGAAAGAAAGAAAGAAGACATCTTGTTGTTCGTTGAAGAGGTTATCGAGCTTGGAACATATACATATATACATATGTAAGACATAATATTAGGAACCTTTTAATAAAAATAAAAACAATTTTTACAAGAGAAGAGAGTTATACTTTCACGATAATATACATATGTATATACGTACGTACGTATTTCACATTAATATTTTATCTCATTGAAATCAGACGATCGATTTCTATCTTTCTCTTTCGCTCTTTCATCCTTTCTCACAAAATTTATCATCGTTGTCATTGTCGTCGTCGTCGTGGTCGTCGTCGTCATGGTCTTCCTACTTTTAACGTCGTCCTTCTTTTTAAAAAAAGTATCATCGATGATCATTAAGATATACTTAAACGTAGGAAGAAATGATTGTAAATTACATGTAAGAACGTTGTGCAGTTTCGTTCTCAGTTTTTCCCTTATATATATATATATATATATATATATATATATATATATATATATATATATATAGATACGTATCTACCCATAAAATTACGACGTTAACTTAATACTTTATACGTATCTCGAGTTTCGAAATTTCGAAGAAAAAAATAATATTTCTCTACTTTTGGACTGATAATTCATTGTCCTAAGTGCGAAACGTACATTTATATATGTATACTTACATACTTAGATACATACATTTATACATATATATATATATATATATATATATATATATATATATATATATGGCTTCCAGATATGTGTGTTTAGAAAAGTAATAAGAAAGATAAGTTCGCCATTGTTTTTAATCCAGCGGTCGCTCTTATTATATATGCTCTCATATATATAACTGAGTTTAAAGAGGATATCTTTTTTGACTGATGCGTTGCATTAGAAAAAATTAGAAAGGGAGAAAGAGAGAGAGAGAGAGAGAGAAAGAGAGAGAGAAGAGAAAATTAATTAGCGAAGCGTCTATCATCTCTCTACTCATCTTCATTGTCTTCTCATTCCCTCTTCCCGTCCCTTCTTTCTTATCCTTTTTATTCAACTTTTACGTATAAACTTTATGTGCTCGTCTCTTTAATCATTCGACGATAAATGACGAACGTGACAATTTTTATATAGGTATATGTCTACATAAATTCAAAAGATCATCTATAGGATGGATCAAAAGCTCAGATGATTTTGAAAAAATCGGATTACTTTTTTTGAGATTGACTAACTGTTTAGATTATTTTTTTATCTTTTTTTTCGGATTATAAAACTATAAATTCTTTCTATCTTAACAAAACTAATACAAGTCTAATAAGATTCGAAAGAGAGACCAATAGATTTTTGATAATCATCTAGAAAAACTTTCGGACCATTTACGAACTTTCGACCCACTTCGCTCTGTATTTTTTGCTTCTCCTGGCTCCCCTACCCATCCCCGTCCGCC